AGTTGGGGATTCTACTTTTGGAACAAGGCAGATGTGGGTGTGATTCAACTGTGGATCTAAATATCCAGTTTCAAAGAAGTAGGTAATGAACTTGATCACACCTGATTTTATAGCATTCCAATGGTATTTGTAGAACCCTGCATTTAGTCCATCAGGTCCTGGTGCCTTGTCTACACTCATATGGGAAAGAGCTTGGTAAACTTCTTCTTCTGAGACTGGAGCAGTAAGCTTCTGATTCATTTCTTGAGAGACTTTTGGTTGGATATGGTCCAGTATAGCTTCCAGGTTACTACTGCCAGAAGAAGAATAGATATCAGTAAAATAAGAATGTATAACTGTATGAATATCTTTCTCTGATTGATGAATATTGCCACTCGAATCTTGAATGGATGTAATTCGGTTGAAGCTCCTTCTCTGTTTTGTTTTTTCATGAAAGAATCTAGTGTTTTTGTCTCCAGCCTGCATCCATTGTATTCTACTTTTTGCTCGCCAATACTCCTCTTCCATTCTATATTCTTGTTGAAGCTGCACTTTTAAATGAGTAATGTAATTAAAGTCTGGGGAAATTGAATCATACGCTTTTTGAAGGTCTTGGCAAAGCTGTTGAATCTTTCTGTTGGAGTTAAGGGTTTGGCCTGATTTCCATCTAGATAAGCTGTTTCTGCATCTTAGTAGTGCCTCATTAAAATGTTGTGGTTGAAGCTGATGACAATATTGCGACCAAGTGTCCTTAATAACCCGTTGAGCTTCTTGATTGAACCTCCAACGATTGTCATAACGAAATAGCTTTTTTCCTCTCCATGTATTATCTTCTGTGAGCAGTAACATTGGTTTGTGATCTGAACCTATCCATTCAAACAATTTGACAAGAGCTTTTGGAATTTGTTACTTGTTTTGTATATTTTTCATAGCACAAAAATAAGAATATGCTAATTTTTTGGATAAAGACTAAATATTGCTAAATAAATAAACATTATTTTTTGATTCCTTTATTAAACATGGTGCAAAAAACTAAAAATAATAAAATACGTTTAGGCTAATTCTTCTTCTCCGGTTACATTTTGGGGATGAGACTTGTTTGTAACGCCATTGTTTTCATCACAAGTGTTGTTGTTCTCTTCGGATGTAACGTAGAAACTCCAGAGAGATACACAGTTTTCGTCAGCTGTGTAAATACAAAGAGAAAAAGGAAAGATTATGTTATATCATTAATAGGAGAGAGCTGATAAGAGTTTAGTGTAATGTACCTTTCAGTTCGAGATCGTTCTTATCTTCATCTTCATCATCTGGAATTGCGAAACGTCTGTGACCAGAGGATGTAGCAGCCATTGGTAGGTATGGGTGGAAAGAGAAAGCATTGACAGTATCTGTATCAAACCAATTAGCGTAATATGCAAACGTTAGGATCTCATCAAGAACTTGAGAATGCAATCGAAGAACCAAGTGTATGCTTACCTGAAGCAGCTTGATATCCAGAGACCCAGTTTCCGGTTTGTAGATCATACATGTGAACTAGCCCATCCTGGAATGAAAGATAAGAGGAATGAGAAAATGGTGTGACATGATTTAACTATGTGTGCTCATAGAGGAAAAACATTAGCTTTTAATTTTTTTAGTTAAGGGCAAAACATAAGCTTACACATGGAAGGAAAGGGAAGGGAGTTCAAAAGTACCTGACCACCAGTTCCTAAATGTCGACCACATGGCTCAATATCAAAGAATACCCGCTGGTTTGTGTTCTCAGTTGCTCTGTACAATCTGATACACACATTTAAATGATCCATTTTCAATCACATTTCAACTATATAAAAGCTTAGACATCTACCATTTCATCAAGCTAAGACTTCTAGTAACTTGAACATTGATGCTGCGTTAAGCTTTTGTTGCTCATGGCGCATTTAGCATTCATATTGTTTACAGCACTTGTTTTTGCCTCTAGATTAAATTCTTGAACAAGTATGAGCTTAGAAACCCAAAGACTACCCAAACCAAAGGAAAGAAGTAAACTACTCACTTATAGACTATCTCAACAGATTTCCTCATATCCCAGCAAAGAATGTAAGGATCCTGAAAAGAGCAAACAAAATGAAACATTTACCGGTAACGTTACTACAGACATGGTCCTATTTAAAGGCATACTTTAATATTGGACACCGACGAAAGTTTCTCTGGGTGGTGTAATATGGATCAAAACAACATTCAGCGGGAAAGGGTTTATAACAGTACATTACCTTGCGACCTCCTGTATATAAGTAGTTCCCATCCTTTGAAAACTGGACCTGAAAGCAAGAAAAGTTCAAATTATGATACATCATACCCCAATGCACAAAAAGAAAGTAACAGTTAGTGACCCTTGCTTACGTGTGTAACACCACCTTCTTGACCATGTAAAACATACAATAGCTCCATGTTATCTTCTCTATAAATCCCAGTAGTTTGTCCGTAAGAGCCCACAGCCAACATTCCAGTATTAGTTGGGGAGAAAGCAAGAGTAGATAATATACCTGGAAATAATAAATCAGCAGAAGGTTTTACTTGTTTCTGTATAACCAGTAATACTAATATAGTGCAGTATCTGAGTGGTAAACTAAGAAAATACCTGCTTGGCCCTCTTTATTTTTCTGAAGAGTTGAATACTGTCCAAAATCTCTACCAGGACGATGAAGATCAAACACTCTGATGGAGCTGTTATAGCCAGCATAGATCCTAAAGACATAACAAATGAATGTATATGATTGTTAATAAAATTCAATAGCATGTGGAAAGATGGATAAAACTTAGATAAAGTTCTTGCTTACTTGGTTCCATTAGGATTAAATCCAACTGAAAAAGCAGCAGTTATTTCATCCATAGCATCATAGGCTCGGTACGTGCACCGAAGCTGCCATTGTTATATTCACATATAAATAACCAGATACACACTAAAATAATGGTAGAACAACTCTCCAGTAAACATGTTAAGTTTCATGGAAATATCAGCACCTCACCAGAAGTACTATCCCAAAGATGGATTGGATGGTCTCTAGTTGAGGTAGCAAAGACGCATGTTAAAGGATCTGAAACCAATCAGTGAACAGCCCAAAGATCAGTAATGCAAATGATGAACATTAAGCAAACAAGAAAGAATCCTTTAAGATGACGTTATTTATTACCTGAAACTGACATGTATGGATACCAACAGAAATCATATACAGATTCACCCTCATTGATAAGAAGACTAGCACCATACGAATCTACAATTCCAAAAATTTGAAAGAAAATTCATAAACACACCATGAAATCACAAAGTTACTTCACATTTTATAGCATCTGACACAACATATAAAAGTCAGATTACAAAGATTACCTTCTTCAGGGATTGGCACTCCATAGCCATTAGAATCCCCTCCATCTTGAGGCCTGATGGACAATTTTGCAAAACAAAATAATTCAACAGAGAACTATAAAACAGGCCAAACATACAAAAATTACAGATACTTAAAGCTACAAAGAGGTTTCAGTTGAAATTCTTCTCCTTACAGATAAAACAGACTAAGTGTATTGTCCTCGGAGCTAGTAAGGAAACATGAACCATCAGGTGACCTGTAAGAAACAGTACAAGGAAAAAGAAAAAATCAAATTTTTTAGGGAAAACCATATCACTAAACAAGAGCGTGAATTTGAAACAAGAAGAAAGGTTACCATTTAAGACCCTTGAGGAAATTATTAGGGTTTCGAGTATTCCTGAACTGCTTGAAGAAATGGTGCGTTCTGTAAGGAGATACATCGAATCTCATATTAGGCCACGATGAAGTTTGCTCTCCAGAATCTACCTTTAATCCGCCATTTTCATCAGCTACTACTGCTTCCTCTTCACCCATCTTCGTCGTCGTCTTGGTCAGAGCTTCCGGGACAGTAGCAGCGAGCTAGAGGTTTAATTTTGTTCTAAACCCCTCCAGTCGAAAGCTCAAAAACCCGAAACCGGGTTATTTCAAACTCAGACCAAAGGTTGAACCGGAATTAAACCAGAAATCGGATTAGGTATTTTATTGTGAATATTGGAAGAAAAAGCCCGCCAGGTCTCGTCGTCATTTTTAGTGCGTCTTTCTGCTATCGGCGGATCCCGGCGACCGTCGTCTTCTCCTTTCGTTTTTCGTTATCTTCTCAAGTGTTTCTCTCTGGCTTCTTAGTTTGTGCAGTTTTTTTACGAAAAATTACAAATTCCAAAAACCCCTAATTGTTCTCTACTCGCCACTGTTTACTTAGTAAAAACCTCGGAATGTCGGAAATGGGGAGTGATGAGGGTGAAAATATCATTCCTTTCCAGCTACAGTTCGACAAGCCCATACCTTTTCAGGTTTTGATTTACTTCAGCTCAAATTTCGTTTTTTTATTCTTTTGGGGAATTTAAGATGGATATATGGATTTTGTTCAATTTCTATAGATTAAGATAGCTGAGTGGAACCCGGAGAAGGATTTGCTGGCAATGGTTACAGAGGATTCAAAGATTTTGCTGCATCGGTTCAATTGGCAGAGATTGTGGACTATTTCTCCTGGTAAAGCTGATTTTGAATACAAGATGGTTTCTGATTATCCGTACTTATAGCTTGATGAAAACTCGTTAGCTATTTGCTCGAAAATTGAAATTGAAATGCAATTTGAAGTAGCTTGTCAATCCTAGAAGGATTACTCTGAGCAGATATTTCTGGTGCTAAGTGGTTTTACTTTCTTTTGGCTTATAGGAAAGCCTGTTACTTGTTTATGTTGGCGTCCTGATGGTAAAGCGATAGCTGTTGGGCTTGAGGATGGAACCATTGCGCTTCATGATGTTGAGGCAAGTTTTAGGTTGAAGCTAATCTATGTTTTACATGATGAAGTTTTTGATGAGCTTGCAAAACAAACTAGTAATATTTTCTGTTTGAAGGGTTGAAAAGGAAAAAGATTATGCTTATCAGAAAGTGTTAGTTACATTTTTTTTTAATCTCAGAACGGGAAGCTATTAAGGAGCTTAAAGCCACATGCTGTAGCTGTTGTGTGTCTTAACTGGGAGGAGGATGGACAATCCAATACGGTATGTCTTTTCCTCTGATTAGGTGGATAAAAACTCATGTTTGTTTCATATCAAGGGATATTATTTCGCTTATATTGATATTGAGCAAGGATAAGCAAATATCTTTAGTTTTTAATTTCACACCCAACTCTAACATAAAAAGCTCTTTGAACTAGTGCTTACTTTTTCTTAGAGTTTGGTTTTCAGGATAAAATTGAAAATTTCTCCGTTTATGAGGACCGGACCTCTCGTTTTTTCCCGCCTGCTCCAAGAGCCCCAAAGATGCCTGGACTGGTAGCTGGTGATTCCAGTTTCATGGATGACGGTGAAGATTCTTTGGCAGAACTATCTAATACCTCATTCCGGAAGTTTAACATTCTCTGCAGTGGAGATCAGGATGGGAGCATATGTTTCAGTATATTTGGAATATTTCAGATAGGCAAGATTGTAAGTCGCTCCTTTTGATTGTAAGTAATTAGTTAAGCCCTAATAACCCATTCATGTATCATGGTTGATGCCTTGAGGTGCTTCATCATTTTTGAATCCTGCTTGCATATAGAATTGCAGGATGCTCAATGAATTTTCAACACTATTTGCCTATGGAAATTGGCTTTCTGAAATTTTAAGTTGCTCTCTTATTACATGTTCTTAATATTTTTAGGGGTAAAAATTATTTGTAAGTGTTTTATAACTGTATTTCATCTCTAGCTATGAGCAATATTCTCTTGCTTTTTAATATGTTTTAAGTCTTATTTTCTCTTGTTTCATGTATATGCTCTGCTGCTCCTGCAAAACCATGATCAGAACATACATGAGCTGTATGTTCCTGTTCAGCATCTGGATGAGCCTGCCTCTTGCAAAATAATTAATGCGTCCATCCACAAGGTACTCCAATCCTTTCAAGAGACATACTTTTCAAATGGTAGAAATTGACATATCTTCAATTTTCCTGTATCTAACTGTAAATGTCTATGGTGGAAACAAGGAAAGGAGGGAGCCTTGTATTATAAAGAGTCTTTAAATTCAAACTAATTATTGTATATTCATTTCTTAGGTTGCTCTGTCGAAAGACCTCTGTCGTCTGGTAGTAATGTGCACAGGAGAGCTTACAGATTGTAAAATGAAGCCCAAAGAGGAAACATTTAGCGTTCAAGATCAACATGGTTTACATTGCCTTGCAATGGACACATCTATTTTTTGGAAGAGGTAACTTGTACCCAGACATAATAAGTACACTACAAATTATCTATATTTTGCTGCTGCTTCTATCTTTTATTCCTGCTCAATATTCTAAATCTGGTTTTCAATACCGGCAACTATCAGTAAGCAACACATTTTTTCTGCCTTGCATCTGTTATATTAGTTATCTCCTCTAACTTTTATTTCAGGAAATATGAGCTTCATCAGGTTGCTCAACAAGCTTCTAACATTGAAGATTTGACTGAGGTTATTCGAGCATCCCTGTCGGTTATGAGCAAACAATGGGCGGATGCAATGAAAACTTTTCATGACAAGTTTCATTCTCTTTCCACCTTGATCGTAGATAATGGTAGTTGCTACTATCATTTTGTTGGTTGAGTTTTTTTTTCTTTGTCTTATGCTTATAGCTTCATAGGGGTCTGTTACTTTTCTCCTAGGACTGGAATCATCTCCTCAAGAAGAATTTCTTAGTCTTTTGGGTGGTGCGCGAATAAGTCCAGCGCTTAATCAGTTTCTAGTTAACTCTCTGGGTGAAGTGGTAAGCTTTATTTGTTTGATATTCTTCAGGGTACTAGTTTATCATATAACACTAACTGATAATCTTGTTTAGTAGGGTGTGAAGCGCGTCTTGAAGTCCGTATGTGGTACAGGAAAAGAGCTTCAGCAGATTGTCCTTGACCATCTTCAGGTTTAGTATTCATCTCATTCTTGGAAATGAAGTTGTAATTGTTAGACTAAGTAACGTTTGTTTATCCTGCTCATGCTTTTTTAGATAGAGAGTTTTGTCACAAATAAGCTTTCATTTTCAGCCTGCAGCAGAAATTATTGGATTCAGGATGGGTGAATTAAGAGGTCTCTCGAGGTGGCGTGCAAGATACCAAGGTATTGGTTTGGATGAGATACTCCTTAATGAAGCCACTGAGAATGCTGGTCTTGTACTTGTACAAGTGCAACGGTTTATGATGGTACTTTCTTCTGTTGTCCAACAGGTACAAAAACGTATAGCACTGATAATTGTAACTATTTTTTTTGTTGGCTGTCCCATGTTTCCATGCAATGATACTATTAGCTAGATCCTATCATTAGAATTATATTATTTTCTGTTTCAGTTCTCAAATTTCTTCAACTGGCTCGTCAGAAGCATAAAGTATCTTATGCAAGAACCAAATGATCAGCTTTCGTCATACAACAGGTACGCACATGTGTTTCTATGTTGTTAATGACGCTAAAGCCAGATCTTTGTAGTTACACGGTTCTCTTCTGTGGCAGTGAACTCCTTGTGGTATTTTTGAAGTTTTTATATGATCAAGATCCTGTGAAAGACCTCCTGGAGCTAACTGAAGCTGGCGATAACATTGAAATTGATCTGTAGGTTACCTCTTTCTATATCTGTGCTTTTACCTTTTCTGCGTGTTGTCTTATACTCGATCCGAATCTCTGTTAGGTTACCTAACTTTTTAAGCCATCAATAACCAGACTGAGTAGGAGTAGTCATATGAGATATAACAAAAGTACATCCAAGGGGTTTCTCTAACCACCCTAACACGAAATTCATGTGGGTAATGTGTGTGCGTTTTTGTGCTGCTATATGTGTTTGCGAAGTTTCTGCATAAATGACCAAAAATTAGCATATCATAGAACTGGATGAATCATGAAGTTCACTGTATCCTCCAAGGCTGTACATTTCACTTTATTTTCCTCAATCCATATATAATAAACTCTTAATGTTCTTATGTCCCAGCAAAACCATTGGAAGAGTTAAAGAGTTACTTCAGTTTGGAGGGTTCCAAGACTGCGATTTTCTGCAGAGGACATTGGCTAAGGAATTCCAACACATGGAGTCTAGGTATATTCCCTTACATTTCCACTTCTTTAAACTAAAATTTTGTTACAAATGTTAAATCATTGAGTGTAGTGGTAGTAAAGTGATTGTAAAAAAGGTTATGGTAGAGACAAAGGTCTGATGTCATGGCTTCGCCTTGACATTTTTAAGTGCGACTACCACCAAAAAAATGGGTGCCGAGTTTTTAGAGTCTGGTCATACTTTCTCATGGTTTTTCTCGGTATCAAAATTGATTTTAGTGGTTTAACAATATTAGCTTCAAGATGGCTCTTCAAATGCCCTTTACAACCATATCAAGAAAGATATCGTGTATGAAGTTGTTGCCACTTTACCCTCTTCAGTTGTCAACAACGCAAACACCTACAACAATTCCCATGTCTCTTACCTTTTATAAGGTATGAGCTGCAACAATCTTAATGCGCATTATTATGATCCCACACGTCATCCTTAGAAAGAGCTTGTTGATTACTATCTCCTAAGTCTTCATTTGCTCTTGATATTCTAAAGTCTTTGTTTGCTCGTGCAGAATGAACTTTCTGATGACACACCGTGCCAAAGTGGGTACACTGATTATATATCTTTTCAAGTCCCCGATGAAACCTTCCCGGAGATTCCGAACTGTATTGGTATAGCTAAGGGTTTTAAGCAGAACTCTAACAATGAGAAAAATGGTTATACTTCTCTGGAAGCCGTTTTGTTATCTGTACCTAATGGCCACAGTTGTGTTGATTTGTCTCTCTACAAGGTGAATACTCGTTCTATTCTGCAGTACTGGTTGATTTAAATTTTCCTTATTTTTGTCTTTTGGAGTTTCCTTGTAAACCCTCTGTCTAATTTTGAAACAGGATAGAGAACTGGTTTTACTATTGAATAAAACAAATACAAATTCAGAAGGCTTGGGAGAAGCATGCATGATGGTTGTAGAAACTGGTGACCTACCATTCATTTCCATTTCAAGATCTAGTTCTCTGAACCAGTGGGAGCTAGAGGATTTGAAGGTATTGCTTATTTTAACCAATCTCATCGAAGTTTTGTGAACCATGTGAAGGTTAATCTAGGAACTTATCCACATATTGAAACGATGTTATCTACTATAAATCCTGACAAATTGCTTTCCTCCAGGGATCGATTGTTAACTTGGAAATGGAGAACGAAAAGGTTCGCAACATCCCACATTCTGCCATTGCTCCTTTAGCAGTAAGCGGTAAGTGCTTAGTTCTACCTATTTACTTCAAGTGAGAAATGCTTTTCAACCGCATTTGACGTAATTTTCTAAATTTGTTACAGCTTCAAGGGGAGTGGCTTGTGTATTTGCTGAGAGAAGACGTGCCCTTGTGTATATACTGGAAGAAGATGAAGACGAGGAAATCACTGAGGACAAGTAAATCTCATCCAACGTCCCTATTTGATTATTCCAAGTTAAGAAAGAGAAACTTGGGAGAGGCACTTCCTCCTGGAAACGGTGTCGTTTGTTACTTTACGACTTTTTGTTCTCAATTCACACTTCACCTCTCAGGCCTCACTTAATTTAATAAACTTCTTTTTCTCACACAAGTCATAATTAAAGAGCGTTACGCCACGTCATCTCATTCAGTCGCCGTAGTAAGCGCGTGCTAGTCACTTCCCCTTTGATCGGACAAAAGCCGTATCAGTCAGCTTTCGAGTCTGTTTTCTTTATACTTAGCTCAACTACGGAAGCAAGACGAAACTCTCTATCTCTTTATCTCTCTCTCTCTCTCTCTCTCTCTCTCTCTCTAGGTTCGTGGCCCATCACGGCTGTCTAATGGAGAATGATCAAATGATATCTCCGACTGATATAATCACCGGCATAGTGTTTATAGACGGTGAGCTGGCTATGTTGACTTTGACTGCCGACGGGGAGTTACGGTCGACAGAGTACGGACTCCGCAAGAGTTTGTCGATGAAGAAGGATGTTCTTGGTTTTGTCGTCGAAGGTAAGCGGATTAGAGTAAAGGCAGTGGTGGAGAAAGATGAAGGAATCTGCTGTGGACGATTTAGTGGAGATTTCGCCAGAAAAGATTTGGTCTTTGAGCCTCTCATCGATCAAACTGGATGGTGCTATAGCCTCCGTCAATACCTCGATTCTCTCGGTTAGTTGTTGTCTGAGTCTGACAATAAAAAAGTTGAAAACTTGTGTATCACTCAAATGCTAAAATTGGAAATTTTCCACTAGGCCGGCCTAAGAGATTGCTTGTGTTTGTGAATCCCTTTGGCGGGAAGAAATCGGCGAGGGATATTTTTGTAAAGGAAGTGAAGCCATTGTTTGATGATGCCGATGTTCAACTTGATATTCAAGGTTCCCTGATTTCTATTTTTGTTTCTTTCTGGGTTTAAGAACTCTTCTTTGTGAAATTGACATTTGGATTACTTATGATGAGTCTTCAGAAACCAAGTATCAGTTGCATGCAAAGGAAATTGTTAAGTCCATGGATGTATCGAATTACGATGGTATTGTTTGTGTTAGTGGCGACGGTGTTCTTGTTGAGGTATGTCAGAAGTATCATTTTCTCTGTGTCAATTGTTTTGGTTAACTTCAACTGGAAGTGATGATGTGTGTGTGGTTGGTGCTATTCACACCTGATTCAAACTTAAGAAATATAGAGTTCATGTCTAAAAGTTAGAGGAAAGACATTGCTTTTTGATGTGTTAAATTATATGTTTACTCTTTTTCTAAGGTTCTGGGGTTAAATAATTGTTTTATTGTTGCTGATTCTTACACTTGGTTCCTAATTTAGTAGGTAGTAAATGGACTGCTCGAAAGAGCAGACTGGAGAACTGCCTTAAAATTGCCAATCGGAATGGTCCCTGCAGGTTTGTGTTTCATCCTCCGACTTCAAGCTGTTTGCTTTCATTCTGAATCCCTAATTATATATAAGATGTAACTTCGTTTAAGTTGCTTTACATTTCATTGTTTATGTGTTTGTTAATCCACATGCTTTCATTTCTTTGCCTCGAAAATGTCGTGCATTGTTTGGAATCAGAAGATCTTTGGAGGCTGAATTTGTTTCTTCCTTTTGTCCTGTGTGTTATTTCCTGTGATATTTTCGTTTTAGTAACCGAGATTGTAGTTTACCATATGAAAATTGATAATATGTGCATGAGAAACTTTTAGAGAATTTGTTTTACTCTCTTTATGCGCATTTAAATCCTTGACTGCAGGAACTGGTAATGGCATGATAAAGTCATTGTTGGACACGGTTGGGCTTCGATGTTGTGCAAATAGCGCTACTATTTCTATTATCCGAGGTTCTGCTCCATAAAAATTCTATCCAGCAGAACATATTCTTTTTTCTTAATAATCAGCTTCTTAGACATTATATTTGTATTGGCAGGTCATAAACGTTCTGTAGATGTGGCAACTATTGCACAAGGGAATACCAAATTCTTCAGTGTCTTGATGCTTGCTTGGGGTATATAAGTGAATTCTACTTCTTGGTTCCATATCCAGAGTCAGAATGTTATTTGAAAATGAAAGTAGTACATGGGCTTGCTGAAACATTCTTTCTGCTGTATTGATTAGTATATTTTATTTCAGGTTTAATAGCAGATATAGACATTGAATCAGAGAAGTTCAGATGGATGGGAAGTGCTCGCATTGACTTATATGTACGTTTAATTAACAAATTTGACAATTGTTGCATTGCGGTTGTTAAGTTGCTGGTGAGACTGTATGATTCTAATCGGATGTTCTTTTGTTGAATTTAAGGGACTTTTTACCTTCTTGTATGGCAGGCTCTTCAGAGGATATTATGTTTAAGACAATACAATGGAAGAATTTTGTTTCTACCGGCTCCTGGGTTTGAAAGCTACGGACACACAGCCAGTTACGGCCTATACAAAGAGCCACCTGTTAGCGTTAAGGCACTCGGATACCAAGGACCTGATACAAAATTTGAAGATCTTGAATGGAGAGAAATCAATGGTCCATTTGTTACTGTATGGCTTCACAATGTTCCCTGGGGTGCTGAGAACACTTTAACTGCTCCTGCTGCAAAGGTCAGTTACACATCTCGAACTAAGAATAGTGGATATTCTTTTGTTGTGCATCATCAAAAGGTCTTCATAAGGTTCTTTTACTTGCCAAAAAACCTGTTAAAACTTCATTTGTATTTGGTATGATGAACAGTTTTCTGATGGCTTCTTGGACTTGATTGTCTTGAAAAACTGCCCTAAGCTTGTCCTGCTATCGCTTATGAGACAGTTGAGCAGTGGCACACATGTTGACTCACCATATATAGATTATCTAAAGGTTTGTCATCCAAAACCTCACTTCATTTGACTGCTTTAATGTACCTTGTGAAGCAGCATTTGTGATTGACCAAACTGCTTATTATGCTATACTTTGAAAAGGTTAAGGCATTTGTGCTAGAGCCGGGTGCACTTATAAATGAACCAGAGAAGGAAGGAATCATAGATTCAGATGGAGAGGTTTTGGCGAGAGGAAAGAAAACATATAATTGTGATAAAAAAGCTTTAATGACTTACGACAAGCTTCAAATAACAGTTGATCAAGGTTTAGCCACACTCTTCTCTCCTGAATATTGATAAATGTTTAAAAAACTACAGGCGAGATGAAGACACATACAAATCATATAATTCATACACCTTGATATTTATCTCCTGTTGTAAATATTGTTCCCTTGTGGTTGTGAATTGTAATTTGATTGATGCACATGTACAGTAACATTACAGGAAATGAGAAGCAATCAGCTGTTTTGTGTGTTTCTTATAATTAATTATTAAATCTTAATCTGGTTCAGAATAAGTAAACCTCCCTCCCATGTTTGGTGTTGAACCAGATTGACTGCTTTGAATTGTTGTTACAGGAAACTCTACTGTTTGTTTGAATGTCTTGAACTTCGAAAACGATGTCGTTTTGTGTGTCTATCTGTTTGTTTGAGAGACTAGCCATCATCTTTGATTATTTTTTTGTCTCTCGCGTATGAGAAATCGACACGTCGTAACTACTTAGAGGAGTATCGCCACGTCATCTCATCCACTCGCCATTCCCGGCGCGTGACCTGATCGGAAAAGTCTTACCAAAGATTAGCTTCGAGGTCAATTTTTAAATCTTAGCTCGCTCTCACCAACGGCGAAAAACTCCTCTCTCTTTCTATGGATCGTCAGACGGAGAATGATCCTCCGGCGATAATCTCCGACCGAGTTCTGGTAAATGGTGTTGTTACGCCGTTAGCTTTGACTGCTGACGGAGAGATACGGTGGATGGAATCTGGACGGCGGAAATCGACGGCGGAAAAAGATGTACTGAGTTTCGTCGTGGAAGGTAACAAGGTTAGAGTAAAGACATTGGTAGAGAGAGGAGGAGGAATTTGCTGCGAAGGAAATGCTGGAGATTACACGAGGAAGGATTTCGTTTTCGAGCCTCTCTCTGATGAATCTAGAAAGCTTTGGTGCGATAAGCTCCATCAACACCTCGACTCTCTCGGTTAGTTCAATTCGCGAAAATTTAAAGTATCACCGGAGCTAAAATCGAAAGTCTATACAGAAATGCATATCTTAAAACTCGATGCTAAATTGATGATTACCTTGTCGAGAATTAGGTCGGCCCAAGAAACTGTTTGTATTTGTGAATCCGTTTGGCGGGAAGAAATCAGCGAGGAAGATTTTTGTAGAGGAAGTAAAACCATTGTTTGAAGATGCTAATATTCAACTTGAGATTCAAGGTTAGTCATTTCTATTTTGTTTCTTCCTAGTGTCAAGAACTCTTGCCTGGGAAAATTACAATTGGATTTTTGTTTTATGATTATTGTTTCAGAAACCAAGTACCAGTTGCATGCTAAGGAAATTGTTAGGTCCATGGATGTATCAAAATACGATGGTATTGTTTGTGTTAGTGGTGATGGTGTCCTTGTTGAGGTAAGTAGGAAGCTTTTCTGTTGGTGGAAGTATCATTTTCTCTATGTCAATTTTGTTTGGAAATGATGATGCGTGTCTTTTGTGCTATTCCCACCTCATGATGCAAATAAGAGGAATTTAGAAATCCCGTCTTTGTTGAAGTTAAGGGAAAAACATATTGCTTTTGGAAGTATCTGTTAGAAGAAGTAATCTCTTAATTAGATATTTACCACTTTGCTTAGTTTTGACTCTAGGATTAAACAATTATTTTGTTGTTGGTGATTCTTACGATTGGTTCCTTAATTTAGTAGGTTGTAAATGGACTGCTTGAAAGAGCAGACTGGAGAACTGCCTTAAAATTGCCAATAGGAATGGTCCCTGCAGGTTCGTTTTGCTTTATGATTCTCTTTTCTTGTGTGTTCCATGTGAAAGTTTAGATGTAAAGGTTATCCTTCAGTAAGATAGAAAATTTGCCGCTTATTCTATCAAATTATTATCTTGTGTCTGAGAAAGTGAGAAACTTCAGCTTAAATTTTTTTACTTTTGTATTTCTTCATGTGCACGAAAATTCTTTATGGCAGGAAGTGGTAATGGCATGATCAAATCATTGTTGGAACCGGTAGGGCTTCCTTGTAGTGCAACAAGTGCCGCTATTTCAATTATTCGAGGTCCTGCTTTATACCATATAAACCATACTTAATCCTTCAAAATATTCTAACTTTCCTGAATGAACTCACTGCCACCACACTATTACTGTACTAGCAGGTCGTACACGTTCTCTAGATGTTGCAACTATCTCACAAGGGACTACCAAATTCTTCAGCGTCTTGATGCTTGCTTGGGGTATGTGGGGACTTCAACTTCTTGGTTCTGTTACTCTAGAATTTAGAACTTAATTTGCAGATGCGCGAGTCATGGCTGATCTTGCTGAATTATTCTGTTGGTTGTATTGAGATAATATCACTTTATTTCAGGTTTAGTGGTTGATCTTGCTGAATTATTCCGTTGGTTATATTGAGATAATCTCACTTTCTTTCAGGTTTAGTGGCTGATATAGACATCGAGTCAGAGAAGTTCAGATGGATGGGTAGTGCTCGCTTTGATATCTATGTATGTTTAGTTGAAATTTTGATTTTATCCTGCAATGCAAGTTTTAAGTATGCGTTTAGTCTATTCAAATCTATCCATGAAGTTGCTGGTTAAGGTTAAATAAAAGAAATGATTGTATGATTCTAATTGGATGTTCTCTTATTATTGTGTTCTCTCTTCTACCGTTTGTATTTGAAGGGTCTTCAGAGGATAATATGCTTAAGACAATACAATGGACGGATTCTATTTGTGCCGGCACCTGGGTTTGAGAGCTATGGCCAACCAGCCAGTTGCAGTTTAGATAAAGAGCCATCTGTTAGTGATAAGGCAATTGGATACCAAGGTCCTGATACTAGACTTGAAGATCTGGGCTGGAGAGAAATGAAAGGCCCATTTGTTTCAGTATGGCTTCATAATGTTCCCTGGGGTGCTGAGAACACTTTGGCTGCTCCTGACGCAAAGGTCAGTTACACAATTTGAAACATTTTCAAACCAGGGAAACACCGTTTTGGGTCTTCTTTTGTGTGCAAAAAGTCTTCATAGGGTTGCTTACTTGCAAACAAATTGTGAATGCTTCTTACATATACATTCTGATTTAACAGTTTTCTGATGGGTTCCTGGATTTGATTGTCATGAAAGACTGTCCTAAGCTTGCCTTGCTATCACTTATGACAAAATTGAATGATGGAACACATGTTCAGTCACCATATGTATCATATCTGAAGGTTTGTCATCCGAAACCATGAACCCATTTGTATAGTTGTAATATTTCATTTCATGGCTTTGATGTTTCTTATCTGAATCTGGATCTAAAAGATTGGCTGAAAAGCTTACATTACATGGTGATTTTACTATTGAAAAGGTGAAGGCATTTGTGCTGGAGCCAGGTGCACGCCTAGACGAACCAGACAAGGAAGGAATCATAGATTCAGATGGAGAGGTATTGGCAAGAGGAAGAAGATCATACAAATGTGATCAAAAGGCTTTGATGTCTTACAGCAAGCTTCAAATAAGTGTTGATCAAGGTTTAGCAACTCTCTACTCTCCTGAATAATTCTAATTATGAAAGTGGGACATATGACATGAAATGAGCTGAAGACACAATTCAAAAAGTGTTTCCCTTGTGGCTATGATTAAAATTGATGGACATGTACAGCTATTACAGTAAACAGCAAATGAGAAGCAAAGGGATGATTTTGAGTCTACATACTTATAAATTCCATAGAGGTGTATTGTTTCTGATCTTTTTGTATGTTTGAAGTGTAAACTTTGTATGTTCTTGTATTTGCAGTCTATAGATACTAAACTGATCAGATCATTTATGAAATAATATACACATCTAATTACAACATTTCGTAACATATAAAGTCAAATCTATATATAATCATAAGTTCATAACAAACAAGTGATCTTAATTTGTAAAGAGAGTAGTCCTATAAAGCTTAGAGCTTTATGGTAAATATAATAATATGGAGATTAGTTTTGTCAACTAGCTGAGGTTAATAGATACTTCTTTCTCTATCCAGCAAAATAAACAAAAAAATATGATGCGACAAATCATATTCGATCAAATGATATATAATAATGTTCCTGGGAATTCAATTTGGACCTACCAGACTAATGATGACTTGGCGTATACAAATATATTTTTTTAATATGGAAAATATCAAACAAAAAGTGGAAAAAAGTAAATAAGAGAAATGTGATTGGATAGGAGAGAGTGAGATTTTAATAGCTTTCTCTTTCTGTAGAACCTCAAAAGAGAGTTTTTATTTTATTTTCTTTAAATTGCTTTTATTAGCTGATCAGGCAAACAACACAACACAATACCCACCCAGGCCAGGAGCACCACTTCACTATTTCTCTCTTTGCTCTCCCATCAATTTCACTCACGCTTTTCTAGGGTTTTTTGTTATGTTTTCCTCTTCATCCATGTCATCATCCTCCTCTTCCTTCTCCTCTAGATTTTGCTTCAACCACGAATGTTTCGAGTTCAAGCTCGACCATTGCCGTCCTGGTTGGCGTCTCCGTACTGGCGATTTCGTCGACCTCTGTGATCGTTGCGCGTAAGCTGCTACTTTTCCTTTTGCTTCCTTTCTTCTTCGCCTTGCTTTACTCTTTGTTCCATTTTTTGATGAGTGATCAGTTTGGTTTCGTGGAGTGTTTGCTTGTTTTCGATTTTGAAACTCAGGGAAAACGTCTACTTAATTATTGTTTTTTTTCTTTTGTGGAATTTTTGTTTTTGTTTGTAGTTTTTGGTATCATGTGGGTGACAAATGTTGAAACCCAAATTTATGAATTTTTTTTTTTGTTTTTTGTTTTTTGTTTTGGGTTTCGACTTTCGAGTATAGGGTCCGCAAGTGTTGACTACAATCGGAGAGACTAGGAGCCACTCTTTTCAGTAGTTAAAAATAATAATTGGAGATTGACATTGTTGAACGCTGTTGAGTTAGTGATTAGGCTTCTAGAATCTTAAGCATTTTGATGGATGTTGGGGAGCTAGTGAGTTTCAGCTAAATTCTTCATGTAGAATCAATATTGTGTACCGAATAGAGAGTCTGGAGATTCAAAGTCCAGTGATAGACAAAGTAAAACTAGGGGACAAATAAATTAAAACACTAGTAAGCTACATTGCATTCTGATCCACCTGATTGGATAATTTGTCCACTAGTGGGTTTTCTATGTTTTTATATTCTACTGCATCAAAGTTAGATATCATCCAATGATGCGTTTCTTAGGCTTACTTTGTGCTATATCTGATGCGTTATAAAGGGTACTTTTTGAAATTATAAATTGGGTAAAATAATGGTTTTATGTAAACACAAGGCCATTTTCATAGGTTTGCAAAGCTTTGTGCATTAAGGCTTAACTACCTGCCGATATAGTTTTAGTTATCGAACTTATGAGAGACTTTTGCTCTCACTATACTTCTTGTTTGTGATGATGTATAGATAGGTTTATTAGGAAACATTTAGCAGTTTGATGATATTGATAACCCTTCAATCGTTGTCTTCCCTGTATGTAGCTCATTTCGTAGAAACAATGAGTATTTCATAACCATGCTGATTTAATATCCTATAACTATGAATGCCTGTATAGTTTCCACTTTCCAGAGACTTGTTTTTGTTGTGAATTGTAAACTTCATCAGAGCTGGAAAAAAATTAGTTTAAGTTTGCCAGTTCTAGTTGCATTTTGCATTAACCAATGCAAGGAGTGTGGTTTACTTTTTGTGATTTCAGTACACTGCAGACACAATGCTTTTACCTGCTCACTACATCAATTTCATGAACTCGTTACTGTATTTCCATTTTGCATATAATGATTTTATTTTGGTTCAGCTCTCTTTACGAGCAAGGAAAGTTTTGTGACGTATTTCACCAAAAGGCTTCCGGGTGGAGGTGTTGTGAGTCATGTGGAAAGGTAAATATATGATTTACTCGTTAAAACTTTTCAAGTCTCCTTGGCATCACAAAAATCGAAATTGGTTTCCCGATATGAAGTATCTCACTAATAGCAATCCATGCAGCGAATTCATTGTGGTTGTATTGTTTCTGCATCTACTTATATGTTACTGGATGCTGGAGGAATTGAGTGTTTGGCTTGCGCAAGAAAAAAAGTTGCTTTGGTGAGGGAAAATTTCACTTCTAATTTCCTAATCACCGAATTCCATCCATTTGTTTTTCTCAGAGACATGATGTTACACGAATCAATTACTCTCAGTGATTAGATATCAGAAGCTAGAAAACAAACTCCAACTGTGCAAAGATCCTTATCAAGTTGAATATATTTTTTGAGCTCTAGTCTATGTGCTATAATAGTCTTTATTCATGTGTTTCAGGGACCTAATTTTCCGCCATCACCGTCCTTTCTTTTCCAATCTCCAATTTCTGAGAAATTCAAGGACTTGTCGATCAACTGGAGTTCTTCAACTAGGTCAAATCAGATAAGCTTCCAGCCCCCTAGTTGTTTAGGTCCTTCAGTTCTGCAGTTTGATTTGCGTAATCGTGGAGATAATAATGAATTTAGTCAACCTACTTCTAAAGAGAGGGCCACTGCATGTTCCATGGAGAAAAAAAGGGGAATAAATAACTTGATAGGGAAATTGATGAGCGAAAACATGCAAAAGTATAAAGTATCTCCTTTTCCAAATGGACCAAATATCAATGTCTATCACCCTTGCGGGACACAGCTTGCGTTTCCTGTGCCAATTACAACACCAATTGAGAAAACTGGTCACTCTAGACTATCTGGAAGTCATTTATGGCAGACACCTAATTGTTCTCCACTAAGTCACTTACACTATGACTTGAATGGTGGAGCAGACTCGCTACTCGAAAGCAAGAGTCGTAATGTGAGGACTCAACTTGATGCACCAGGAAAATATCAGGTGGTTCCACAATATTGGCCCAAGGTTTCAAATAAAAATCAGCAGAATCAATCAAAAGAGTATCCTTCTTATCTCATAGATTCTACATTGGAATATAACGTTGTATGTTCACCATAAGCATATGAATTATGCTTTTCTTGATCATACTTTAGCATCCTTTTACTCTTGCTTTTTGTTTGTCTGTCTAGCTTTTGATGTGAATAAGTCTATACTAGGTTGTAGAATAGGTTTTAGAGATAGGTTTTTACTTTCTGTTTGGATACTTTGCCGCTCAGGTTTATGACATTTAAAACTAAAAAAATGTAGGCTACTTTAAGTTATTAGAACCTTAACTAGATGCAAGATCTGAATCCATTGTCACTCATCTGTTTGAGAAGATTCTGAGTGCAAGTGATACTGGAAGAGTTGGGCGGCTGGTGGTACCAAAGAAATGTGCAGAGGTAAATAACTGTTTGCTTTTGCAAGTACGGAATCTTGTTCTCTTGTTTAAATGGTTGGCTCATGTGGAAAGAATTTAGAATTTGGGTGTCTGGTGCTTATAGCAAATACTTCACTGCTTTTTATCATGAAAATATAATCATGCTATCTGTAACTTTACAGTTGTCTCATATCATATTTAAGATGCCAAATGAACAAAGCATTGCTATATAACAGGCTTTCTTTCCTCAAATTTCCCACCCCGAGGGTGTGCCTCTCAAGATACAGGACCCAATGGGTAAAGAATGGACATTTCAGTTTCGCTTTTGGCCAAACAACAATAGCAGAATTTATGTTCTAGAGGGAGTAAATCCATGCATACAGAGCCTGGTGTTGCAGACTGGTGATACAGGTATATTGTTCGTAACATAGTAATTTGGTTTACCATGTAGCAAATGCTAAAATATGTTTTATGTAGTAGCATATACTGTTCACAATTCCATCGATTTAATGGGGAAGCAATTATTTTGCCTCTCTGAATTACTATTCTCAGTCGATATCTTTTGTTAAGCATAATTACACTTATTCTGACTAATTTTTTTTTTCTCTAGAGCTTATGCTTGGGAACTGATTTCGAATTTCTTTTCAGTCATATTTAGTCGATTAGATCCAGAAAGGAAGTTAATTTTGGGATTCAGAAAGGCTGCCATCGCTCAATCAACTGATCAGGTTACTTTCTAAATTAACTAGATAGCTTTTGGTTGTAAGTACTTTTGGTTCACTATAGTTACAATCTTAATTTACTAGCCAAGTAACGGCTAGTTATAAGAAGGTTTCCTGAATGTCAGCTGCTCTTGAGAATATAGTCAATGCACAATTACGAGTAACATGTTAAAGTATAATGAGTGAAAACGCAATTCTTACTTCTCTTTAAAAAATTTCAGTCTGGGTGAAGAGATTAAATAGGTTGGAGAAAATTCTCATAGCTTGGGCTAGTTTCCAAAGTTCTGGGAAGTCATGTTTATTTCGCGTTGTAATTTGGTTACTAATTATGCTCTTTGTGGACATATAAAATGGATAAGTAATGAGTGAGTCTGCTTCTACATGGATCTATGTTAGAAGTAGACTTTCTGCTGTTGCGAATGGGTTTATCTTTAGATATCAGCAGAATTTTTTAGCTGGAGAAACTCATAACTGATGCAAATACTAGAAATCCTTGGTATATTGTTTATTCATCAAATGTGTGTCTGCAGGAAACTAACTCAACGAATAACAATCGTGACACTTGCACAAACAAAGATGTAAGTAACTAAAATCCTAACTGGCACCTTTTCATGACAAGTTAGCTTGTGTAACAAAACATAGTAATGTTATATCTCTTCTCCATTTCATTTGCAGGCTGAACCGGCTGATATGCATTCACTGTCTGAAGTTAAGAAGTCCACCTATATAACTAAAGAAACCCCAGGGGTAGAATTTTCCTCCGGTAAGAAGAATAGCAGCATGATGATTACAAGAGGTAAACGTCAAAAAGTTGAAAAGGGAGACCATATCGAGCTGAGGCTAACGTGGGAAGAAGCTCAAGGATTCCTCCTGCCTCCACCCAACCTCACTCCATCTAAAGTTGTGATAGATGATTATGAGTTTGAGGAGTATGAGGTACATCCATATGTTCTTGATTTACTAATTTTCATATGTGGTCTATGCCGCTTAAGAATCTTACTTCTCTTTCAGTTTCCTTATGATTTGGCTGTAGATTTCTTCTGGAAGACAAAATTATTCCATGATATAGAAACCTGTTGACTGTTTTTCATATATATATATTCACCAGATAAGGGTTTTTTTTTCTGTCGGATTTTGAAGTCAATTGGTGAGCTCATGCTACAATAGACACGTTGGGTATTAAAATATGTTCGTCTCAAGCTTATAAAAACCATAATTGGCTTAGACTGCTCTTACGTAAACAGTTGATTTGAATCCTGAGTTGATTAGTCTTCTACGACATGTTATTCATTCTTTGGTGTGTTTTCAAATCTTGTTTTACTTGTTTTGGAACATATCAATTCACTGAGTTATATCTTTGTAATATTTCTTGTGTCAAAATAGGATGCTCCAATCATCGGGAAGCCTATTGATGATACAGGGTAAACCACACATCTTTGTTTTATTGGCTTTCCTCTTTGCTTTAAGGTGTTTGAAATGGTGAATCTTATCTTAAATGATGTCAGGAGAATTGAATTAGGGTACTGGTACTATTCATGATCCAAAAGTGTGTTACCGAATGTTGAAAGCTCATTAAAATTCTTCTGCTTATTATTATTTTCTTTTGAATTTTATCTTGTTTTAGATCAACATGCACTCCAGATCAAAAACTTGTAGCTCAACAGCAGAATGAGGAAGCCATGGAAGAAGCTGAAAGACTCTTGATGTCACCCAAAACAACCACAAAGCACCCACGGCATAGAAATGGCTGTAGTTGCATCGTTTGCATACAATCTCCAAGTGGTGCAGGTCCTAAGCATGACCGACGCTGTTCTTGTGCGGTCTGCGAAGCTGTAAAACGCCGTAGGCATTCTCTGTTGTTACGGAGGGAAAAGAAGCAGATGGGGAAAGAAGACAATGCACACAAGGAGCTCGAGCAACCGAATTCTGATGATGAACTTCACCAATCTGCTAACAACAGTGAGAACCATGAGTGTCATACTTCGCCTTTGAAAGTCCAATTAGATTTGAACTTCAAACCAGAGAAAGACGGGGAATCTCTACCTGATTATAACAAAACTACCAAAAAAAAGACTCTGCATCATGATGACACAGTGAAGTCTAGCTTCAATTCACCAAGCTCATCAACTGCTCATAGCCAAATTAATAGAGAAGAAGAGGAACTCAAGAAAAACACAGAAATTGCAGACACCACCACAAGCTCCATATAGATTTTGAAGACTCCTATTGCTGCAAGGTGAATAGATTACGAAGGGAAATATCAGCAGAAACCTTTTTCTTTTTAACCTCACAGGCACTGCGCATTTTGTTGATACATGGGCAGTTAATATCCTTACTGATGGAAGCGCATTACTCTTCAGACTCGCATCTAATGAAAATGGTCAAAATTAAAATTCCCTTCAGGTTTCCTATAACTGGTATACGTATATATGTAGCATACTTCCCTGTTACGTGCAAATTGTTACAAGACAAATTTCTTGTTCTAAACTAACCTAACAATATAAAGCAAAGAGTAAAAACACTGTAGAGCTTAGTATTTCATACATTAACATTTCAATAAGAATATCAATATTTCTGGATTGGCATGATCTTCACATAACAAAAGGAGAGGTCTGCTTAGCCTACAGACATTCATCCCTTGAATGTAGCAGATTGTCTTCAAACAAAAATCATTATCCTAAAGCCACCATTGTAACTACATCAAGCCAAGTTACACAAAATAAACCAAAAAACACATCAGTCTCCAGTGGCACATCGGTTAATTACCAGCGTTAGGCAAAGCAGCCATAAACGAGTTATAGGAAGACTCAAGGTCAAAGTGAAGTTGCCTTGCTTGCTGTTCCGTGAGTTCATCTGAAGCTCCCATCTTAGACAGCCTCAAAAGCCATTCCTTCATCTTTATCTTCCCCTCAAAATCCGGTGGCAGAATACTCAGTTTATTAAGAGAGGCAGAGAGATCAGACAACAAGGGATAGACCTGATCAACAGCAACCATGTTGAGTTTCAGAGAATCCATGGAAGTGATGAAGTTCTGAACACACTCAGCAACAACAGAAGCAGAGCTTGATGTAGAAGCCGAAGCAGCAGCTCGATGCTCCACAGTAGCTGGTACACCAGAAGTCACAAGGCGATAAACTGCAGCTGAGCAATCCATTTTGTATGTCTCTGCAAATCTTTCAATATTTGGCACCATGTCTTTGAGCGTAGCAGATAGTGTCTTGAAGTGGACAATGAGTTTCTGGCACTCGGTTTCGTATTCGGATGGAGATATCAGATCACGGATATAAGCCTTCTCGAGCTTCTCAGTAGCTTTGATGATAGCAAAAAGCTCAGCGAAATTCTCATACATTTCTCTCTCACGCTTATCGTTCCATAATTTGACCTCCATCTTTCAGTATTAGGGAACTATGGAGAAGAGAATGGGACACGCGCAAGGACAGAACAAAAGAAGCAAAAAGCTTCCTCACTGTTACCAAAATCAACAATACCAAGTCAACAGATCACATTAAGGAGATTAACATCTAATTAAGGAGAAATGAAGGTAAAAAAATCATACGAAGAAAACATGGCTAATCCATATTCCACTAGTTGATTAACTAAAAGACAAGGAAAATGATGAAGCTTGAGAAAGGAATCATTCAGCCAAAACAAACGCTAAGCAGATTATGTCAAGAACTAGCGAACCAAAGAACCAGAAGACATTGAATAAAATTCAAAGACCAGATGCTATACAACCATGATCATAGTCACCGAAGCGAGAAATGGATCTTTACCCTAAATAATTTCAACCCAAAACTGAAAAATCCCAAATTTCTTCATCTGCTGAAACAAAAAGCCACAATTTTTATGGAGAGAGAGTTGAGAGAGATACTCACAAGGAAGCAAGTTGGGAGGATTTGGATGGTCGAGCTACTTACTTCTCCGGATTAGAGGAGAAAGATATGGAGATTGGAGAGAGAGAGAGAGAGAGAGAGAGAGATATGAGATCGGAGATTGCGTGTGCTTACACGGCTCCTTTATGATGAATTGATGACGAAAGCTTCACGCGGTATGAACTAAACAACACAAGGGCAAGGCAACGAACTCTGTCTGGATCAACAAATCAATCACCATCGATTCTCGCGACTAAATATATTATAACAGAAGAAAAAAAAAACCAAACTTTCGAATAGATGATAAAAAAAATCTTAACTTTATTGAATTAGTGATTACGAAAAACTCGATTAAACCCTAAATCCAAAATTAATCTAAAGAAATATATGAAAAGCATATGAATTTGGGAGGTGAAAGAGTTGAAATTTACAAAAAGCTGACCTGAGGAGGAGTTGACAAAATAGGTGTTGATGGGGGAAATAGAGGTTTCACCTTTTCAGAGAGAATTGATAGAGCAGAGGGCCACCATTAATGGGTATCTATCTCTCTGTTTGAGGTATCCAGACGTATTTTGATCAGAGAGTTACGTTTTCTACTTTCTCGTATAGTCCTTTCGCACGCCTTTTCCCGTATTTTACGTGCGACTTTTATTTTACCTTATTATACTCTGTTTTTTTCCCACCCCTTTATTGAATAAAAACAAGTGATTCCAAAACATAAATGGAGGCTAGACAAGTGTATAGCTTTACTCTAACGTTTATTTTTCTTTTCCCAATCATGGACAACCAAAAGATTTCAAGCAAAAAAACTTTGCTTCTTTTCCCTCAACATAACATACAAGATCACCAAGAATTGGCTTTTAGAATGGCTGATTTGGTTTTCAGTCTCTGACGCGCAATGATCATTCGGTCTTTTTGTCGAGTTTCTTCTTGGTCTCGCCGCTATAAGGACCAGCGTGATAAGCATGCTTCTGAACGGCGGCGAATACAACCATCTCAAAACATACCATCACGTTCTGAATAGCTTCCTGGATTTGTTCCACCTCCAACCAGAAATGGTGAGATTTGATGATTCCCATTGCTACCAGAATGTCTAGTGCTATTCCCTGCAGTTTTAGAATCAAAATGAATCTAATGAATATTTGTATCCAGGACTTAAAAAGATCTGAATCAAAAGATGAGTTTCCTGTTTTGAAGGAGGTTTACTGATCATGCAAATATTACCTGCCAAAAGACAAAGAAGACGATTCCTTTGATGCAGAGGAATTTTGCTAGAGGATTATGAGGAGCAAGCTCCTTAGCAAACACATGGTAGAAGATCACGAGAGAATATAAAGCAAGAGAAACCGAGAAATTGAGGATGATAGTGAATGTCCAGCTCAACCAGGAAGGATAAAACCCAATGAGCTGTAAACCTATCATCAAAGAGGAGCACAAGGGTCGGATGACCACAAATTGCCATGTCCAGTATTTCAAAAGTCTAAGAGTGCGATGATCCAAACGGACTACATGAGGCTGTCAAAACAATAGAGTCAAAGCTTTAACTTTAAGGGTAAAGAGGCAAATAGATATAAAGAAGAAACCATGCAAAGATTGGGACAAACCTGGAAAAGAGTCATTGGGAAAGAATGGTGAATCTCTCTTCCTTTGATTCCATCAGGCACGATGTTTTTGCTCATAGATATGTTTAGATAACTATACATCAATGCCAAGAATTTGGCGATGACCTGCAAAAAATGGAGACTTAAGTAAGTGTTGTCTCTATATTATGCTGAAGATTAACACACAAGCAATAAAACTAAATACTCACGAGAGCTTCATAGCATTCTTTGATGGATTCTAGAAAGAGGAAGAAGATTTCACTTCCTTTGACTTCTAACAAACCAATAAAGGAAACAACAGCGTAGATAGGAGCCATAAGAACAATGATGAGTATAGCCTTTTGTTCCTTGGGGTTCTTCCAGTGAAAGAGATGCTGCGATACAAGCTGTATCGTAAAATGAAGTGTGAGCAAGACGGAAAACGCCGAGCAATAGAAAGAAATCTGCGGAGGTTTCAGGTTCATTATGTGACTTATCATTGTGTCCATCATTGTTTCCTGCAACCCTGCATCAAATTTTTCACACTTAACTCATTAAAATCAAGAAATCTAATCAACCATAACATCTAATCTTTTTTTTTTTTTTTTTTTTTGTCGCCTCCATAACATCTGAATCTTCACAAACGTTTTAGAATTATATTCAGACAATTAGCTCCACATTAAAAGTTATACTTCCAACTGTTAGCTTCGCTGCAATTTATCTCCTATTCTCAAATCTAACATCGTGTTTCTTGGTACAATTGAAAAAAACAATCCTTCCATGAGATCTAGAAAGCTATATACGAACTAGAACACCAGGAGAATCGAGATATCGCCGAATCAAAATAGTAAAAAGCTCGAAACTTTAAATTGAATGAGACAAAAGGCAAAAATCTAGAATCGAAGAAACCTATAAACCCAATCTAAAAGGACGAATTTTATTACTCAGATATTACCAAAAATGATTCAAAGCTAAAGAAACAACGCGATCTCCGTAAAAATCTGAAACAAAGCTACACGTAAGAGTTAATCAGAGAAGAGATGAACTAACCTGAGAAGAGCTACGGGAACAAAAAAAAAATGAAATAAGAGTGTGAGAGTCTGAAGAGTATCAGATCTCTGTGTAGATCATGAAGAGTTGAGGGATCAGGAGTCCACCATTAATGGAGTCACAGATATTGAGATATCGGGAGATTGATTATAAAAAGGAAATAGAGTATGGCGACGCGTTTACCACGTGAGTCGCTACGATTTGCATAAAGAAGTCGGCAGTGGTCGTCTTACCCATACATGTGACTTTCTGATTCGCTTACACGGTTTGTCGGATTTCTTTGGAGCTACTACACATGTCGGTATGGTTTGGTATGGTATTATATGATCCAAAAGTTCCATATAAATGTTTTGGGTAGTTATAGATATGAGATCATGATTGTGATGGTAGTTATATCGAGTTTTCTTCATTGATTACGTCATGGCTGAGCACAAAATCATAAAGAAACTCAGATGATGGAAGATTTGGACTCCTAACCTCAATCTTCAATGCACGTATTTTAACCGCTTCTCATATACTGAACGAGTGAAAGTATAGCAAATAAAGCGGTTCAATCCCAAATGTGGCGGTTAAATCAAACCGAAGTAATTATAATTTGACGGACCAAACCCAATAAAACTGTTTAAAGTTTGGGAATTTTGGTCAACACTTGTCATTTGTTTGCTCGGAACTATCCAGTTAAAAGAGAAAGAGGAAAATTTGAATACGGAAGCTAGAGGATGAAGGCGATCGTGATCTCGGAGCCAGGTAAGCCGGAAGTTCTGCAACTACGAGATGTGGCAGACCCAGAAGTCAAGGACGATGAGGTTCTTATCAGGGTTTGTGCCACTGCTGTGAATCGTGCTGATACTCTTCAAAGACTTGGCCTTTATAATCCACCACCTGGCTCAAGCCCTTACCTTGGTCTTGAGTGTTCTGGAACTATTGAATCCGTGGGAAAGAGCGTCTCTCGTTGGAAGGCTGGAGACCAGGTAGAAGCTCGATTCCTGTGTCATTTTCATTTCTGGGAATTGGGGGAAAACTTGTTTAGGGCTTATGATACTCTTGGTGTCTCAGTGTTTAAGTTCTGTAGAATCTTCGAGCTTGGATTAAGACTTGTGTGAATATATTGCTTAGTTCTCAGTGTTCACGCTCATGTTCTTACTTATTTAGGATATAGAACATTTGAATTTAAACTAATTTGTTTCAGTTTAGTTTCTATTCGTTTTCATGTTTTTAGCTGCTGAGGCTTGTTACAGATTTGTGTTTGATTAGGCTTTGGTTTCACCTTAGGCTTATTAGGCTATATAGCTTTACTTTAGGCTATTTAGCTTTACTAGGCTTATTGCCACAAGACTACTTTAAAAGTATAAAGTTGTTGTCTTGGGTTAAACTTATTTCTGACTCCCTTTGTCTCAGGTGTGTGCTCTTCTTTCTGGAGGAGGTTATGCAGAGAAAGTTTCTGTACCTGCCGGACAAATCCTCCCAATCCCTGCTGGTATCTCGCTAAAGGATGCAGTGGCTTTCCCTGAAGTGGCATGCACTGTTTGGTCGACTGTCTTCATGATGGGCCGCCTCTCCGCTGGTGAATCATTCTTGGTATTTCATATCTCCACTTACTATGTATAAGACCGTTCTATGGTTTGTTAGTAGCCAGTTCTTGTACAAGCAATACTAGATGCTTCATCTATTACTCACCTTTAACTTTTTCTTCTCTCTTGAGGTTTTAGTTCACATCTTGTCTACTCCTTGCTAATGTTGATAGTTGTTGAATTCTCAGGTTCATGGAGGTTCTAGTGGGATTGGGACATTTGCAATTCAGATAGCTAAACATCTAGGAGTGAGAGTATTTGTCACAGCAGGTTTGGATTTAAGCTTCAATTCATACATAACTTTCATTTTTTTTGTGTTGTTGACAATGTTCCATTTTTTTGTGAACTTACAGGGAATGAGGAGAAGCTAGCTGCTTGCAAAGAACTCGGGGCTGATGTTTGTATAAATTACAAAACTGAGGACTTTGTCGCAAAGGTAAAAGCGGAAACCAATGGGAAAGGTGTGGATGTTATCTTGGACTGCATCGGGGCACCATATTTGCAGAAAAACCTCGACAGCTTAAACTTCGATGGAAGGTTATGTATTATCGGTTTGATGGGAGGAGCCAATGCAGAAATAAAACTCAGTAGTCTACTTCCAAAGCGTCTCACTGTGTTAGGTGCTTAACACACAATCAATCAATCATATATCTCAAAATCAAAACTGAGACCGAGTGATAATCTTGATCTGTTTTGTTCCTACAGGAGCTGCATTAAGACCAAGAAGTGCTGAAAACAAAGCGGTTGTTGTAGCGGAAGTCGAGAAGAATGTATGGCCAGCGATAGAAGCGGGGAAGGTAAAACCCGTGATTTACAAGTATTTACCACTGTCACAAGCAGCAGAAGCTCATAGCCTTATGGAGAGTAGTAAGCATATTGGTAAGATTCTGCTTGAGACTTGATCCTCTGCAAAGGAAGAATGTTCAGTGACAAGAATCATGGTGAATAATCAAATAAATCTACAAAGAGTTTGTTTTGTTGGCTTTATGTATCTCTGATTTGGGTCAAAAAGACTAATGACTATGGAACATAGATCTTATCAGATAAGCTGTTGTATACCAAATAATTGTAGTCGACTAAATCAAACGTTAAAATTCCAGATTACAATTTTTTAACAAGAACAATTAGAACAATTAGAACAATTGAACAACATTGGCTTTGGAATGATAAAATCAACAAAGGACCTTTCCTAAGATATAGGAGGAACTTGATTTTAGTTTCATTTTCAGCTTTAAATGAAAAAAAAATGTCAGATACATCAAGTGAAGAGGCAAAGACCAACAAGTCACGGCTTTGTGATAGTACCTCTTGACTTGTAGCTTTGTTCTTCTAAATTCTGATAAAACCAATTTCAAAAACTTAAATAGAAACCAGTTTCAAATTCAGCAAAATTGAGCAACGAACTCTTTGATTCGATAGACGTGGTAACATTAAAAAAAGTCGAAACTTTGTAGTTGATTCAGAATGAGTATGTCGCTGCGACAGTGGTTTGCTAGAGTACTCGTGCTTACACAGCTCATCCATGGAGCTTTGTGTTGGGGAAAAGAGGGTCATTACGCCGTTTGCAAAATAGCCGAGGTAAAAATCAGATTCTGAGCTTGAACCCTAGAGTTACTGAAATCTCTGGGATTTATAAAGATGAGAACTTTATTACCAAATTGAAGTTCAATCTAGCTCTACAACTGTTATATATACTCTTTAAGAGATTACAATGGCGATGGCGTCTGGCTAGTGACTATACCCTTGAATAGGATTGAATATTTATGCAGACAAAAAATTTACCTTTTGTGATCTCTCTCTGATAATGCCATTTTCAATCCTCAGAGCTACTTTGAGGAAGAAACTGCAGCTGCAGTGAAGAAACTTCTACCTGAATCAGCTGAAGGTGATCTAGCATCTGTTTGCTCATGGCCTGATGAAATTAAGCACCATTGGCAATGGCGATGGACTAGCCCTTTGCACTATGTTGACACACCTGACTACAGATGCAACTATGAGTATTGTCGTCGGTTTATTCTTTCATACTCCAACTTCTTACCTTTTTTTTCTTTCTATTATCATATCCGGAATCCAATTAATATGCTGTGTCTTTGTGAAGGGGATTGCCACGATACTCATAAGCATCAAGACCGGTGTGTGACAGCAGCGATTTTCAATTACACTATGCAACTTATGTCAGCTTCTGAAAACTTGCATAATATAGTCCACTGTGAGTGAGATCATAATGAGTCTGATTCTAAAGCTTCAGTTTTGAGTTCTATGAAGCAGAGAGCCATGATTTGTCTTTGTCTGCAGACAACTTGACAGAGGCTCTCATGTTCTTATCACATTTTATTGGTGATATTCATCAGGTAAATCCCTTTCCCATTTAAAATTAAATGAGTCTTGTCACAACAATTCCTGTGTCTGATTTATTTGTAATCTACACAGCCCTTGCATGTTGGTTTTCTGGGAGATGAAGGTGGAAACACGATAACAGTCCGCTGGTATCGTCGTAAAACAAATTTGCACCATGTAAGTGTTTGTTATCGATCATGTTGATGCTAGCTAAAAGTAGATTTTCCTGATTGGTTTAACCTCGTAAATGGAATAATTTACACTTTTGGAAATGACTAAATTGTGTTCCTATGATCTTCAAATGATCCAAAATCTTACGAAAATTTCTTTCAATTATGAAGGTCTGGGATAACATGATAATTGAGTCTGCTCTTAAAACATACTACAATAAAAGTCTTCCACTCTTTATTCAAGCACTTCAAACCAATCTTACGGTACGATCTTACTTTATATTGTGGAGCTCTAGTGCCAGTATGTTATATAACCAATTAACTCACACTGATTTTTTGCTATAACTGCTGGTTGAATACAGCACAACTGGTCAAATGATGTTCCGTCGTGGGAGTCATGTCAACTTAACAAAACGGCCTGTCCAAATCCGTAAGCATATAGATATGTCATTTTCTTTCAACAATCAAGATATGAAAATCATTTTTCTTGCAGCCTTGTTAAACGCAGAAAACTGGATAAATTTTGCATTAAGAGATCTAGAAAGATTTTGAATAGGAGAGAAATATAGTTTTAGCTGTCATATTCTTCTTTCCTAATGACATCATTGTTGATTCAGTACGGTTTTGGATGTGTTTAGGTATGCATCTGAAAGCATTAATCTGGCCTGCAAGTATGCTTACAGGAATGCTACACCCGGGACTACTTTAGGAGGTACACTTACTACCTGAGCATTGAATTCAAAAGTTTCTAGAAAACATAAGGTTGAACTTTGGACATTCAGTATTCACTCTGAAAGAAGATCTTAGCTTTGTTTACCCCACACATGTTCCTCTCAGTTATACACTTGCATGTACTGCTGTGTTCTTTGACTTTCTCTTACATCTGTTCGGCAGATGACTATTTTCTGTCTCGTTTACCCGTTGTGGAGAAAAGACTTGCACAAGGTGGGATTCGCTTGGCGGCCACTCTTAACCGTATTTTTTCTCCAAAACCTAAGCTTGCTGGTTCATAAAACTGATAACAAGATCCCCTACAAACATTTGCAATCATAAAGCAAGTTAGTTTCTGTTATGCTATACTTAAACCAAAACTGTACTCTATTATCAACATCTAGAACTACACCATATGTAATGTGTATCAACTGAAAGCTTCAGGCTCTTGATACTATAAAAAGGAAGGATCTTGGCAATGTTATCACAAGCTGGCTTTGCTTAACTTGTGAGTGATATCTCTATGTTCATGATGATTCCATTATTTCTACTTCAGTATTTTTGAATTGTTCATCTCCTAACTATATCATTCTCACTTCTTTATTAGACCATGCTTTACTCAGTGTCTCACCAGGTATCACCTTTTAGGTTCAAAAGGATGATTTCTTGTTTACAACGAATACCTTATTTTATTAATTTGTAACTAAATCACACCACAATCAAATAACATGTGGAAATCATTTGACTTGCTTATATTTAATGACTCAACAGTAAACACTAACTACTAACCAGTAAACAAATATATATAACGTGAAACATACAAAAATAAACTAGTATTTTCTCTTTCATTCATACATTATATATACTACCATCAATGGAAGTGTGATGGAGTAGATAAAACGAAAAAAATTCACGTCTTACGAGGTAAGCAAAACTCCTTTGACTTCTCTCCTTCGTCTTCTCTGCTTGAATCTGGTTCTCATTTGTTCTACAGTTGAAGAAAAACCATTTGTTTTTTGCTTGCTGTGCGTTGAAACTTGAAACTGCTTCTCTGTTTCTATTTTTGGAAAGCAAAAAGGTGGAAGCTTTTTCCAGAAATGGGTTTGTCTCTGAGAATGTGGGTTGTGAGTATATTTGTGCTTACTCAGCTCGTTAATGGAGCTCTCTGTTAGGGAGATGATGGTCATTACGCTGTCTGCAAAATAGCTCAGGTGAACAGATTGTTCAACTTAGTTTCGAAAGCTAAACTCTAAATTTGTCATAGTAATTGTTACTACGTGATTATAGATCTGAGAGCTTTAATACATAAGTGAGTGTTGTAAGATAGTTGAACATCAATTTAATACTCTGTTGTTAATACTCTGTATAATCTGATAAGACTGTTTTTTTAAATCTTAAGGGTTATTTTAAGGAAGATACTCTAGTTGCAGTGAAGAAACTTCTGCCTGAATATGCAGATGGTGAGCTAGCAGCTGTTTGCTCATGGCCTGATGAAATCAAAAAGCTACCTCAATGGCGATGGACTGGTGCTTTGCATTTTGCTGACACACCTGATTACAAATGCAACTATGAGTATTCTCGTGGGTTTATTTATTGATCTTTTCTTTCAAATTTTCATTCATGTTTCTGTTTTGACAATGGCATAAATGTATATGTTTTGTTGTCTTTTGTGAAGGGGACTGCCCTAAAGACTGGTGTGTGACAGGAGCAATCTTCAATTACACAAACCAACTAATGTCTGCTTCTGAAAACTCACAGAGTATAGTCCACTGTGAGTTAGAATTTGATACCATATTTATGTTTCGGTTTTACTAATTTGTTCTGTATGTTACATGGAGCATACTTGTGTGAGTTGGTCTTTTGTTTTCGTTTGCAGACAACTTAACAGAGGCTCTCATGTTCTTATCACATTATATGGGAGATATCCATCAGGTTAATAAGTTCGGTTTTGTAATTTCAGAGTAATCATATTAGAAACCAAGTGATGTTCTGTTATATGCAACGGAGGCTATTCTAATTACACTGCAGCTGAGATTAGTGTACAGTTAGTACTTAGTAGTACATATGGCTAATTTTGATTATGGATTTGGATTTTTCCGCAGCCTTTACATGAAGGTTTTCTTGGAGATCTAGGTGGTAACAAAATAAAAGTCCACTGGTACAACCAAGAAACTAATTTGCACCGTGTAAGTGCTTTGTTTTCGATCATGTTGATGGTAAAATGGTTATTTCTTTCCTGATTCTCTTGCTAGGAACTGGAAGATTAACTTTGAAAGTTAAAATTTCAAGAAAAATTGTAGTCTATAATCTTTCTACTGATCCAACTTGTGAACCCCTTTAATTGTGAAGGTTTGGGATGACATGATAATTGATTCTGCTCTGGAAACATACTACAATTCAAGTCTTACACGCATGATTCAAGCCCTTCAAACCAAACTCAAGGTATTGTTTTACTTTCTATAGTCAGCCTGATCAGGTTATAACCATATCCAAGTTAAACTCAACTTACAGTGATTAATTGTTTGTTGTAATTGGTGTCTTCATATATTTAGAGCGGTTGGTCAAATGATGTTCCTGCTTGGGAGTCATGTCAACTTAACCAAGCGGCCTGCCCAAATCCGTAAGCATATATAAAATAGGCTTTTCATTTGCATATGTGTTAGTTGCAAGAATTCACAGTTAAAAGATCTATAAAAGTTGCTGATTAATTATCAGAGGAATATGGTTTTAGACTTTTAGCTATCATTTATTTTTCCATATATATCACCATTGTTTGATTTTATATGTTATTGGTCTATTCAGATATGCTTCTGAAAGCATCGAACTTGCCTGCAAGTATGCTTACAGGAACGCCACCGCAGGGACTACTTTAGGAGGTATACTTGCTCTCTGAGCATTTATAGACCAGAGTATTCACTATGAAACAAGATTTTTTTTATAGCTTTCCAATATGCATCAATGCTTTGGTAGTTTGATATTCTGATTTCTTTCTGCAGATTACTATTTCGTCTCTCGGTTACCCATTGTAGAGAAGAGGATCGCACAAGGCGGAATTCGCCTGGCTGCGACTCTTAACCGTATTTTTTCTGCAAAACCGAAGCTTGCTAGAGCATAAAGAAAGATCCAGGAGTTTCATTTGAGCATCTTTTTTCGGGTAAAACTTTTGAACATCTAATAACACTCTTTTTGTTGTAACAATATGTATTGGTACTACCATGATGGTAGACTGGTAGTTAAGGTTGCCATTGTTCCTGAGTTTTAACTATAATAAACAAGCATGAAACGTGCAATAATTGTCAACATCTAAGCGCTGAAATTAAGGGTGGACTTGAAAAATCAAACTGAACTAAGCCAAACAAAGATTGTCCTAAACCATACTGAACTGAAATTAGCATAAATTCTGACTGATTTGATCATATCTTAAAACCTTAAAAACCAAAACCGATCAAACTGAACTTAAGAGTTTTACCGTTAAAACCAAAACCTTATAACTCAAAACGTTAAATGATAAACCAAAACATCCCACTCCCACATATATACATTTACGTAGAGTAAAAGAATATATGGCGCAAACGCTATTACCTACCATGTGTCAAAAGCCTTGCAAAAAATAAAATAAAAGAAGTAACATTTCCGTGTAACTGCAAAGTTTGATGAAAGTTGACGATGATGATGAGATTAGATATGTAGAGAGTAGTCTGACATCGAAAAGAAGAGAAGGAAACAGAGCCAAGGTCAACTTGCCGGACAACCAAAACATCAATCAGTTCAAGATTTCGTTTGGTAAGAATCGGCAAGTCATCCTTGGCTCAACCTCATTCTCTATTCTTCCATGCAAGACCCTCCGACACAACTAGAGACTCTCACCATCGGCACTATTTATTTCTCTCTATATATACTTCTCTTCTTATCTTATCATGTGAATTTGTATGTTAAAACCCTTACTGATGAAGATGGTATTTATAGGCATACGTAGATGCAAAATGTGTGAATTGAAATTTTAAGAATTTCGCTTGATATCATAAAAATATAATAAAAATCCATGCATGGTTATAGAGATGTTAGTAGTGCATGCAAGCAAAGAAAAATTGGAATATTGACCACAGCCGTATATAGCAGAATATAATCAACACATTAAAAGATTGGCTGACCTTATATTATCAAATTCGAATTCGAATTTTCATGTGAATAAAAATTAATATTCGTACCATCATCACTAATCCAAAGGGCATCATCGCATCGACCGATCGTACTGGAGAGACATGAATAAAATCCACGTGTCGTATGTTTCTTAGGATTGGAATCATAGTCTTGCTTGTGGGCTTGATCGTTCGACAAAGAGACTCTATCATCGCAGAAACAATAGAAATATTCTTTCAACATTTTATAGTTTTTTTTTTCTAATTTCATATTTTTGCGGATAACATAGAATATAATAAATTGTCCTTTTGAGTTGAGAATATATTATTTTGGAGACTCATCACATTGTGAAGGGATCACACTAATACATGTGATCCAAAGCTATTACCCTTCTTTTACTACAAGAATTTTCGATTTGTGTGTTACATTTGCTCTTCCGACAGATAAATTAATATAAACCGGTTTGGCCAAATATCAATATGTGAGATCGTTTAACAAATGTCTTTAAAAAGCTTGTGAATGTTTGGGAAAGCTTATGAGTATTTCCAAAACATTTGTATAAAATGGGAAACATCAAGTTTTATAATAATTTTGCTAAAGAAAATAAGACAGGTAGACTAAACTAAAGCTACAAAGTTAAATTTTATTCTATTTATTGATGGATCACTTCATAAAGATTATGATTATGAAATGTTTTATATCCGATTAGACATATAGATACCATTTCTTAATTTCTTTTTGTCAACTCTTTCATACACTCATTTACTCATTGTTCCAATTATCAAGTGTCGTTCACATTTCTTTTTGAAAAGCCTAAAATATAAAACCATAATTACACAAGTTATTAATAGACAAATGTTTATACAAAAATAAGACTAAAGTAAAAATATTTCGAGCATTCTAAGTAGTAAACAATAAATTATCTCACCCGGATAATATTTTCATACGTTATGAATATGTTATTAGTCTCCATGATCTATTTTTTAGTATAAACTATAGTTTATATTAGCCCTGGGCACGAAGCGAATATTCGGAAAATTTGTGATATTTGTGATTTGCTTCGCTTTTGCTATTTGCTTCGCTTCGTAAATTTTCGAGTATTCGGAACTTCGAATATTCGAATATTTTTCGTAATATTTGCGAATTACTTGCTTCGCTTCGCTTCGACCCATCTAATTTTTTTTTTAAACTAAAAACATATAGTACACAAATATAAAGTGCAAAATATGAGATATTAGAGGTTCTTGTTTGACATGTTTTCAAAATAAGAAGAAAATGTAACCACCGTCCATAGAATTTTCACATTTTATTTTTAATATTGATTTTTCTAATAAAGTTTTATTTGCTTAAGAACAACATTTAGCAAAAAAAACAACGGACCAAAATATAATAATTTAAATAATAAACCTATAAGATATATACCCAAATCTATAAATACACATATTATATATATATTATAAAATGATTTATATTATATATAAATATACGAAGCGAAGCGGATATTCGGCACTAAGAAAATCAATATTTGTTATTTGCTTCGGTTTTTACGAATACTACATTTTCATATTTGCTTCGGTTCAATATCTTATAGATATTTGAATTTTTCGAATCGAATCGAAACGAATATCGAAGAGAATCGAATCTAACGAATATTTTGCCCAGGGCTAGTTTATATCATATGATCGGCTTGTTTTGTACCGCAAGATCCACTATCACAGCATTATCTAAGCTAAGTATCAGCTAAATCATAAGCTACTACGCCAAAGAACATCCTAGGAAATAAATTAGCCATGGAGTTGGAGGGAAAGAGAGATACACGCTTCTTAGGGAAGAAACAATTCATTTTCTAAGTTTTAATCAAAAAAAATTGCTATTACTTTAATTTGGGTAGATTTTGGTTGTAAAGAAGCTACCCCAGTTGCAAATTTCATTCGTATAAATGGTATGGCGATTGCTTTAGTATCAAAGAGAATCCAAAGACACGTGAAGTGGTCTTGGTACCAGACTACTGTTAACCTCGTTCTTGAAAGCTTCACCATGTGCGAGTCTTAGTCACTTGATACTAATGTTAAAGGAAGGACCCTTTGGAATGTTATCTCAACAGCTTTATGTGAATGATACAGCTTGTTAGTTTTTGATTAAACTAATCAAACTAGAAAACTCGTTACTGAAGAATAATTAGTTTTTAATTACCCATTGGAAGAAGAGTAAAGCAAAAGAAAATCAAAGAAAGCTGAGGCAAAGCAAAGATCAAAGATCAAGGCCCTTTATTAGGTAATTCGTTGACTTCACATATCTTCTTGAATCGTGTTCTATTTGCTTTACGATAAACCCACGATGTTGGTTTGGCAATCTAGATTAGAGACTGACCTTGACGTCTTGTGATTGTTAGGAAATTGAAAGCTCTGTGTTTCAGAATGAGATTGTCGTTGTGGTTTGCGAGTGTAGTCGTTCTTACACAGCTTGTGTGTGGAGCTCTCTGTTGGGGGAAGGAAGGTCATTACACTGTCTGCAAAATAGCCGAGGTGAATATCTTGATTAGTTTCTTGAATCTTGATTACAGATGTGTGGAGATTTGTTCTGTTGGTTGTGTTGCTTGAGAGTGTTTAATTACTTGTGATGCTTGAGAGTGTTTAATCACTTTAGCTTCAGAGCTGTGAAAGTGAAAGTATATAGGAGCTTATTTGTTAGGACTGTGAGAAAAGGTAATAGCTTTGTGGTTTAAAGATCTCAGTTTTTTTTTATTTCCAAATCCTCAGGGATACTTTGAGGATGTGACTATAGCTGCAGTGAGGAAACTTCTGCCTGAATCTGCTGAAGGAGATCTAGCATCTTTTTGCTCATGGCCAGATGAAATCAAACACCTATCCCAATGGAAATGGACTAGTGTTTTGCACTATGTTAACACACCTGAGTACAGATGCAACTATGAATATTGTCGTATGTTTATCTTTTTCATACACATGTTTCTGTTTCTACTGTATATGTTGTTGCAGAAATTTTTGTATGCTAAGTTTAAGTCTTTGTTTTTCTCTTGAGTGAAGGGGACTGCCACGACGCTAATAAGCATAAAGACTTGTGTGTGACAGGGGCAATCTTCAATTACACAAACCAATTAATGTCTGCTTCTGAAAACTCACAGAGGATTTCCCACTGTAAGTTAAAGGCTTTTAGTAAATCTGCAGATACTTTTTCTTATATTACAGTTTACAGATTTGTGTATAGGTGACAATATTGAGCTTAGTGTGACTAGTCACTTTTTGTTTACAGTTAACTTGACAGAGGCTCTGATGTTCATATCACATTATATAGGAGATGTTCATCAGGTTTAATCCCTTTTGCAAATTTCAGAGGAATCAAATGCTGTCAGAGTTATATGCAGTTGAGGCTACTCTGTTTACACTGGAGCTTTGACTAGTGTATAGTAACAACACAGAGTATGTGTTTGGCTAATGTTTATGTGGATTTTGATTTTTCAGCCCTTGCATACTGGTTTTCTTGGAGATTTAGGTGTAACAATATAATAGTCAAATGGTACCATCACAAAACAACTTTGCACCATGTAAGTGTTTTGTTTATGGTCATATTGCTGCCAGAAAAATATCTTTCCTGACTCGGAACTGGAATGATCTTAACTTGAAGGTCTGGGATAACATGATAATTGAGTCTGCTCTAGAAACATATTACAATTCAAGCCTTCCACGCATGATACAAGCCCTTCAAGCCAAACTCAAGGTACAATCTTGCCTTCTCTGATCAGCTTCAGCAAGTTATAGCCATCTATATCAACTTACATTAAGTGTTTGTTTTTACTACTGTCTTAATATAGAACGGCTGGTCAAATGATATTCCATTGTGGGAGTCATGTCAATTTAACCAAAAGGCCTGTCCAAATCAGTAAGCATCTATCTATATTTGATAAACTTCCTTTGTAGAGACTTTTAACTGCAACAAGAAGCGAGAAAAGTCTGTAATGTTGCCGAATAACAAAGAGTATCTGGCTTTAGTTAGCATACCGTTTTTGATTCTGTATGTTCTTTGATGTATTAAGGTATGCTTCTGAAAGCATTGATCTTGCCTGCAAGTATGCTTACAGGAACGCTACTCCAGGGACTACTTTAGGAGGTATACATACTCTCTGAGCATTGAATTCAAAGTTTCTATCTACTAGCTCTGAAACAAGATCATAGCTTTTTTCTTCAATGATGGACACAACACAACTTGATCTCCTGCTTTCTCTGCAGATGACTATTTCCTTTCACGGTTACCCATTGTGGAGAAGAGACTTGCACAAGGTGGGATTCGCTTGGCAGCGACTCTTAACCGCATATTTTCTGTAAAACCAAAGCTCGCTAGATCTTGAAACCAAGCAAAAAGTTCCTAGAGAACCCAGTTTGGATCATCCAAGAACACTTCTTTTAAGTCTTCTTTAACATTGAATGGTTGAGTAAACCTCCAAAAAATCTCTCATTCTTCTTTTCCACATATTTTAGTGTTGAACATTTGCCAAAAAATTGACAGTTATAATCAGATGATTTTGTTATATTTTGGGACAAGGTTCCTATTACAAAACACACTCATGGAGTCATGGATAATACGTGTAGAAAGTAATATTGTCAACGATTGGTTAATGTCCACCGTGAAGACGACCTTAATGGAAAGAGCTAATCAATACTTTCCATTTTTGTTTCAGTTTGTTTTCGATTCTGTTAAGTTTAGTTTTTTTTCTCAAAAAAGGAAAGTTAACCCAAAAAAAAGAAAAGAAAAAGAAGAGCAAAATACATATAAAAAGTTTAATATCCTAATTAATGAGAATGATAATACCCTATATACAGTATATAGATTATGAAAGCTCATATATTATTATAAAAACTTTTGGTGAGATCGGTAAGGAGCCTAAGCGCAAAAACAAAGAATGTCTTGCGTGAAAAGCAACACTGAGAGAGAAAAGGACAAAGCCGATCAACAACTAGTGGTCTCGTGTGTAAGCAAAAGCAGACGGATGGACAGAGAAGAGCCATCTTTTAAAAGAAGAAGGATGGATTTTCTGATTCTTCCTAATGATTTGGTTATAGACTGTTTAGCTCGTATCTCAAAGTTGTACTATCCAGTTCTCTCTTTAGTCTCCAAGAGATTCAGCTCTCTCATTGCTTCAACAGAGCTTTACCAGACTCCAACCCTCTTAGGACGCACCGAGAATTGTCTCTACGTGTGCTTACGGCAAAGTCTTACATGCAGCGGTAGAACAACGCTAGGTTGGTTCACTCTTTGCCACAAACCAAATAGCTCAAAAAAGATTTTGGTCCCAATTTCAAATCATAAATCTTTATCATGGTCGGATGGTGTAGTGGTTGTTGGTCCTAACATCTACTCCATTGGCGGATTCAAACCTAATAGTAAGCATCCTTCGTTCAACGTCAAAGTTATGGACTGTCATTCTCACACATGGCGTGAGGCCCCAACCATGAAGGTAGCCCGTGTGTTCCAATCTACTTGCGCTCTTGATGGGAAAATATATGTAGCAGGAGGCCAGAAAAATCTTGATCCAACAAAATGGATGGAGGTTTTTGATACAAAAACTCAAACTTGGGAGTTTATGCATATCCCTAGCGAGGAGATATGCATAGGCAATGGATACGAAAGCATAGGGTATGAAGGAACTATCTATGTGAGGTCTCGGGATAAAAATGTGACTCACAAGCTTCATAATGGTAGATGGATAGAGGCAGACTTAGAGATGAATGATGGATGGGGTAGCTCATCAGCTTACTGTGTGATAGAGGACGTGTTTTATTGTTGGAATAGAAATGGTAACCGTATGATCGATTGGTATGACTCTGGAAAAAAAGAAATGGACAACGTTGATTGGGATGAGAACATGGCCTAAAGTTTCTCTAACTAGTGCTAAATTGGTAGGTTATGGTGGGAATATGGTGGTGCTGTGGAAAAATGTCAAGTATGTTGGGTACCATAAGGAAACAACCATTTGGTGTGGGGAGATTGCTATTGAAAAGCGTGAGGATGGAGAGATCCAGGGGACACCAAAATGGTTTGACATTGTGTATACAATGAATGTGAATGAGATTCGTTTGGAGCATGCTCTTGTTACTCATGAAATATGACTTCTAGTCATAACCACCACATTAGATTAAGACTTATGATAGGTGTTCGCTCGCACACATTCATTCACCTTGTTGATGAAGAAACTGACACATACCTTTTCAATATATATTAGATTCAGATGATTTCCAATGGATATGATGAAACCTTTAAATTAATGTAACAAAAAAGTAGAAGAATAATCAAAATGGGAAATCGGGATCATCCCATTGAAGAACAGCAGATTCGATGTTGTGCTCTCTCTTGAGCTTGTCCTTGAGGAACCAGTCACATATTTTGCCTGCATTCAACTCTTCTATTGAGCATCCTTCTTGCTCCGATATCACTCTTAATAAGTTCAACGACGATATCTGTCCAATAAAATCCGATATTTCATCTAAAAGACTATAACTCAATATATTTAATAACTTGTCTATACCAATAATATCTAATTTTGAATCAAAACAACAAACTTAATCGATTGAAATTAAATTTGGTATTGTAAGTAATTTCTCAAATTTAATTTACCGTTAGTCGACAGAGAAACTTCTCGTGAGCACCAAGGCCGGAGATTTCCACAAGACCGGCCTCTGCTAAGCTCAAAAAACTTCTTCTCTCAGGTATGCTTTGATCGCCTGATTCTTCTTCTCCAGCAGATGCTCTTACCAAACACGGTCTTCTTCTTCCTTGTGTTCTTGGCATGAATGTAATATTATTTGATCTTGTTTGTCGAAGCCCTGCTAAAGTCTTGTCTATGCGAGGATTCAAGATGAAGTTTGACTGATGATAATAAGTGGCAATGTTCATAGCGATACTGATACCAAACTCTCTTTGCTTTTCTTTCTTGGTGGGTTTGAAGATGAAGATGAGGATAACACTTATCCGTTATGTTTGTTGCTTCTTTCGTAATATTTTAAGTGGTGAAGAATGAATTGGGCTTTGGATGTTACGAAGAGATGAGTCATGTGGAACATTGAAGCATTTGTTTTGTTTTGTTTTTATGGTCTTGTAGTGAAATTTTTCGTTCATTTTTATTTTTTACTTACAAAAGTCAATTATTGGTCAACGTTCAGGGCAAGTTTAACTTTTGACATCTTCGCCGACGAAAGAGACGTGATGGAAGAGAAGAAGGAAGACCAAAATCACCGTAAAAAGGAAGAAGAGGAGGAGGAGGAAGAAGGACCTCCTCCGGGATGGGAATCTGCAGTTCTTCCTCCTCCAACCGCCGCCGCCGTAAACCCCAATCCCACCACCGCCGAAATTCCCGGTATTTTAATAGTTCCTTGTCTATTTTGCTTCCATCTTGGTGCAGTCTGATCAAAGTAACTGTCTTTAGTGGATGTTGTAAGCTTTTAGAGGGAACCCATTTTAGATTTCGCGAATGATTAAGAATTTTCTGAAATTTTTTTATAAATGTTGTTGTTTTGAGGTTGCAGAGATGGCGCAAATGGTATGTGGATCTTGCAGGCGTTTACTTTCGTATCTAAGAGGATCCAAACGCGTCAAGTGCTCCTGTTGTCACACTCTTAATCTCGTTCTTGAAGGTTCTTCCATTGCTAATCTCCTATGTCAATAACTTGAAAGCTTGTGTTGATAATCTCAAGTCACTTGAAAATGTTTAAGGAACAATCTTGGGAACGCTGTCTCATTTTGGTTTTGCTTAGCTTGTGTGAATGATATTCTCTGTGTTCTTGTGATCAATCTCGTTTCGAAAGTGTTAATCTTCATGAGACTCTAAATGAGTTTTGTTCTTAGCTGATACTAGAATTATCTTTTGCTAGGAATCTTCTCTTATGCTTTGTGAACCATGTTGGTCTCTACACCATTATAATTTCTCCTTTATAGATTACACTATTTATGGGATCTTCCTTCACTCTTACCACTCTTGGGCAAATTGTGTGAATCTTCTAAAGTTGTTCTTCGAAGCTGATTACTCCATCCTTTTTATTTCAGTGAATAAAGTCTACTCAATTGATGAACATACCTTTCTCCTCTTATTGGTTTTGATACGTCATTCTTTGTTTACAGCTAACCAAGTTGGTCAGGTGAATTGCAACAATTGCAAAGTGCTCCTCATGTACCCTTATGGAGCTCCGGCTGTTAGATGTTCCTCCTGCAACTCTATCACAGATATCAGAGTATGTTACCTTTCAATTTTGTTTAATTTCCTCTTCAAACCATGGATTTGTTTTGGTTTCTTCGGGGATTGATAAAGCTAAAAGCTACATCTGATTGAGCTATATGTCCAAATCCCACTTGGAAGAGTTGATACATTTTGATTTCGATATCCGAGATTCGGAGTAACTAATCTTCTGATGAATCATATATAAAACTGTGTTATATTTTCAGGAAAACAACAAACGATCTCCATGGTCTGAGCAGCAAGGACCACTCAAAAGTGTAAGCAGTTGTCAGGTGAGCAGAGAGAGTTAAAGCTTGAACTGGTTTGATAACAAAAACTTGTCATAATGTTAAGAATTAGATTGAACAAAATCATTAATAATCATTGGTTTCCCATTCTTTCAGATACCTTTGCTCACTTCTCAGTTACTGTTTTAACTTTATGCTTTAGTGGTTAAATTGTATCCATCAATAAAAAGTTGATATTCGTACTGAACCAACATATAAACAAAGGAACAGAGCTCTGGATACATCTTTCACAAGTGAATATTTAACAATCAGTCTACATGGGCCAAAATTGTCAATGAGTTTCAATAATTAGGTCGTATAAAATTAGCAAACAAAACATGGACACTTATCAAAAATATATAAAACTAATTTGCACCATCATATAAAAATTCATGGTAGGTCCTCGAAGGACAGAGGAACAGAGCTGTGTTGTAGTAGTGAACCAACTTGTCAACAAATCCAATTAAATGAAGAGTTTCAATTAATCAACCCTAAAATTTAATGAAACCTTGGACAAATTTTTTTACTTTGTATACTAGTAGTAGTCTACTATTAATCAGACCTGCACAGATTTAGATTTAAACCTAAAATTGATATGGTTGAGTTGAATTAAAGAGTGGGGTCTTATTAAAACCATATTAGAGATTATTTACACCACTAATTTTTCTTTTGGTGAAGTAATACTATCAGTTGCTAAGCAAAATGTTTGTGTTTGGTATAAAAGTAGACATTATAAATTTGATTATCAACCATATTAGAGTTTACGAATGACTATATTAGAATTTGGATAGACAAATTACGAAGCTTCATTTTGTAAAAATAACCTTCATGAACAATCGTATACAAATGAACTCACCATCATAGAATATAATTAAAAAGTTGAATTTTACCAAACTTTTTGACCGTGAACACATCTGTCACAAAAGTCCTCCACTAATAAAATTTTAATTAAAACGATCTGTCGAGTTTAATAACAACACATGCGTAAATTAAATGTGGCCAAGTGAGCTGCAAAAACAAAATATATTTAGACAAGTCTCTCAACGAGTTACGGAAACGAGAGAAGGATAGACACATACACAACTATACAAGTGAAGTAAAGAGTCTTGTTTGCGAAGTGAGGGCATTAAAAGTGAAGTATTACACACTAAAGTCCACGAATCAATGTCTTAACTGTATTTTCATGTCTCCCTATTTAATGCTCTTTCTCTACTTTATATATATATATATATCTCATCCAACTATTTCTCATTAATCTCCATCATAAACCCACCAAATATCTACACAACCAACATGTTCACTAAATCTTTCCTTTTAGCTTCCCTTCTTCTTCTCATCTTCGTCTCTGCAACTGAATCATCTCGTCAGAAGAGTGGGAACGATGGTTTAGGATTTGGAGGAGTACCCGGATCCGGATTTGATGGTATACCCGGGTTTGGAAACGGCTTTCCAGGGAGCGGAATGGGCGGTGGGTACGGCGGAGGTTTCGGTGGTCCAAAAGGTGGTTTTGGGAAAGGAGGTGTGGTTAGGCCAACGGTGACTTGTAAAGAGAAAGGACCTTGTAACGGCAAGAAGCTGAGGTGTCCGGCTAAGTGTTTCAGCTCTTTTAGCCGCTCCGGGAAAGGATACGGCGGTGGAGGTGGGGGAGGAGGATGCACAATGGATTGTAAGAAGAAGTGTATCGCTTATTGTTAAAGAGAATAAGAAAAATCCCATCTTTATAATATATAGTCATGATAATGATTATATATATATTGCCATGTAATGTTATAGCTAATATAGATTATGATCATGAGGATCCTTTTGTCTCGATTCCGAATGTACTAGTTTTTTATATGCAGCATAATATAATGGTTGTGATGAATAAACGAGGAAACTTTACGGTTTTCTCAGTTTGTGTTTTTAGTAAGAAATTCTACTATTTTTGTGTTTAAATGATGATCTTGATTTGATTTGAGACACTTTGAACTTGGATTGGCAAAACTTTTAGTAAGGACAAAGACCATGAGCATCATATCCCTCTGCTTATGACGTCAATCTTAGACCGTTCAGTATAATTCCTTTTCAGACAGTAACGAGTTTTCTTGTTAAGGCTTTATCGTGATCTTGGTCTTAACTGAGACAGGAATGGTAAATTTATGAACACCTTACCAAAAGAAGTAGCCAGTGTTGACTTTATGACCCGAGAAAGTGAGTACTCTGTTAGCTGTAGAGTTAAACACGAGTTGAAACTCGATCACAGCTCTTTTGAGTGTTAACCTCTTTCCCAAAATTTGGAATTGTGACTGAAGGTAGGATTATATCAAGAATTGATGGCTCAGGAGTTGGGCAAATGTTTACTCTTTACTGAAGAAGACACGAGAAATTAAGGAGCTAAGTTCAAACATCTGAGACCAAGTTTACGAAACAAAGCCTTTTTTTTTTCCTTTTTTTCTTCCAGGTTTTTGGTTTTTCAGGCTTTGAAACTTCAAATCCCCAAAACACGTTTTACTTCAGCCTTCAGATTACATAGTAATAGAACAGCATTACTACTAAAACTCGAGATCTCTGACTCAAAAGACTCAAAATGTAGAACATGAATCTCTCTTTCTCTCTATCTCGCATGTCTATAATCCAGAATCCTTTCGTCTCTTCCATAGATCTCCTTGCTACCCTCAGAATTTGAAATCTTTCTTCTTCTTCCCTTCCTTGTCATGCATTTTCCTCTTCCTACTATTCTGCTGCACATGCTGTTAACCAACCAGGTATAAAAAAGCTTAATCATCCGCATTCATAATAATAGTTTTTTCAAATATATATAGAGGAAGAGAGAAAGAGTCATTACCTCGACGACCATGTCACTCAAGTCCACTGGCTTATTGCGCAATTTCTCTTCTTCTCTTGCCTCCTCATACCTTCAAAAAAAAGTCAATCGTGGAGTTTAGAACTATATATTTGTTTTGTCTTATGAATTCATGTACAATTAACAAATGTGTTGCTACTTACTTGGCAGGTAAAACATTTTCCATAGCATCCAGCTCCTCTGGCTGTAAACTGACATCCACTCTGTCTGTCTTTTGCCCTCTCAGCAAATCAACCTGCTCAAATTCAAACACAAATGCATATATATTCGCCACTTGTCATAACGCAAAGAGCAGACTGAGATGTTACGACCAAAGCTTACGAGAAGCTACCTTAACTGAATCTCTATACGCAACTATCATTAACAATTCCTAAGCTACTGCGAATCAGCGTTTCTCAAGAACACATGGGACTCTGGAGTATAATTACTAACACGACCCATTTTGACCAAACTACCTTTTTAACTAACAATGAAATTATGCCATCTACCACAATCTACACATTCCTTTCTAAACACATTTGGTAATATAACAACAGATTGCTCACCCTTTTGGCTCCAGTCTTGTCTTGAGTACCAGTCTTAATAACATATGTGTGAGTGGTTCCCAGCACTGTTCCAGCAGCAACACCCTCTGACTTTTCTTCGAGAACCTTCACAATATACATTTAAAATACAACAACAGTTAAGTGCAGCAATGGTGAAATATTACTTGACATCAATTATTAGAAAAGGAGCGTTAGATTATCAGAATTAGGTTTCGTACCTGGTATAGAGGCCTATCGGGTTCCTTTCTCTGATCCTTACGAAGTTCAATCGCATCCGGTGTCTCTATACCAGTAGGAGTGCTGAAAAGAAGGGAACAAATACAAATCAGTAACATGATAAGCAAACAAATCAAATAAACCTCATCAATGTAAATCGCCTAGGCAATACAATACCTTGACAATGTATCAACAGATTCAGTGCCGTCTTCTAAGTCCTCCTCATCCATCTCCTCTTCTTGTTCCTCCTCTTCCTCCTCCTCTTCTTCTTCCTCTTCCTCTAAATCACCCCAGTGCTTGCTCTTATCAATAGGCTCCTCCTAAAATAATGATAAAAGAATAACCAGTCATTTTTAATGATCTCTAGATATTCAACAGGAACATTATACATTGTAGTTAGTATTCACTAGTAACCACACCAACTATCCTTTTAAAGGTAAATTTTTATAACAGAACTCTGAGATGAAAACAATTACCTCATAGTTAGGCTGATCTTGTTGCAGGACACCAAAGACATCTCCATACAATGGACGCCCAGTCTATATAACACAAACGATAAGAAGAAATGAGTAAAAATAAAACATGTCACAGAAAATAGTTGAAAAGAAGAATGTAGATCAAATTGCTTACTTCATCAACCGGAGGTTTTCCCCAGCCGCCAGGATGATAACCAAAGCTAGCTCCCAGTGGAATAGGAGCATTCAAACCAGGAATTTTCAGATGTGGGTAAGAAGGAGGAGGACCATATCTCTGTTAAAGAAGAATTTAAGGTGAACAATTCAACTTCAATCAGAATAATTAAAAAGATAAGTCAAGGTAACTCACCTGCATATTAATTAGCCATGGGGGTGGAGCGCCTTCAGGCATACCAAGAGCTTCTTTTAAGTCATGTGATAAAAGCCCTGGTTTCATCTCCCTCAGTTTAACCTATTTCCCAAACGTTTGTAATTAGATTCAGGTACACAAAGGATAAAACCAAGTAATGTAATAATATATAAAGATGTAAAACATGTCACAAGGAGTACCTCAAATTCTTTCCCTTCAAAATACAAATCACCTAGAGCTGACAGCTTAGGCTTTGTTTGGTATTTGAAGAATGCATCATGGAGGACCTAAGAAAGAAAGGTACATTTTCACTTATCAGTTATAGAACAAAAATCATTACATAATCACCACAAAACAAAGATTCAAACCTGGTAGTCAATGTCCATCTTTCCCATCTTTGGCTGCATTCGCTCCCGTTGCTTTTGCTTCAACTTTTTACCATCTTCTTTCTCAATGTAAGCCTGCACAAAAACCACACCAAGAATTAGCTGACTAGTAGAAACATTTAGCTACTTACACCTAGACTGATCCAACTAAAATTGACAAAGAATAGCTTAAATTTGAAGCAGATTTAAAGCAGATACAGTGTATGCCTAAGACAGAAAAGAAAGAGAATCAGTCTAAAGCACACAAGCAGTGGCCATCTAATCCAGAAATCTACTGATACTAGGAAAATAAGCTTTGGTCCTATGGAAAATCGAAGTTGAAATGTGCAAAAATTCTAATGATGGCATTTCTCTTCATACACAATTAGTATATATTTTCATAACACTAAACGACTTCTGACAGAAAAATGTGAGAGCGAATAGAAAAGAAACACCATGGGTTCCAAGACAAGATACCTGTCTAATTTTCTCAATTCCGGTTGCAGCAATGAAATCAGGAAGATGAAATGGCTGCTTCTCAATACCACGCTTACCCTGCAAAAATGAAACCCCGCTGAGATGTCACCAACTTAAGAAAGAAAGGAGCAAGCAATAAATAACTGTAACAAGGAAACTTGGCAGAATCCTAGGATGCTACAAATCCAAGAGAATCTAAGCAAAAGCACAAAATTACAGTATGTGAATGGAATATATCCCACCCAGCTGATACATTAAACACTTTTCCTAGAAAAGCATCAAACATCTCCAAACTAAGCACCACAGATTTCATATATAAACAAAAATAATAATAATAAGAGTCCTCTCCGGTTACACCTACAAGTCCAGGCTCCATGGTTATCACAGACGTTCTCCTGCAAGAAGCATATATAGGTATAAGGAAACTTAATTGACATGGTTATCACAAACGTTCTATCCCTCTTGATATAATTCCCCTATGTGCCACACCCACAAATCACAGAAACATATATAGTTAACTACACTACCATTACTCAAATTATCACAAACCTGCAAATATTTTCTCTTCTGGGACCAATGTCTTGGAACAGGAACTGTATTCCGATAGGACTTCAAAAACACCAACAGCTTTGGATCTGCTGAAGTAGCGTCCCAGACCTGAAAATATTAAACAGAAATAATGAATAACATATAAAGAGTCACACAACGAGTTGAAGCTTTAGATACCCATATTTTGGAAATCTTTGAGCCAAAGAAAAGCATTCATACCTCAACAACATCAGGCCTAGCAGAAACCTGCTTCAGCTCAGCAATCTTCATCCTCCGTTGAAGCTGAGAAAACAGAGATTCAGAATTTTTAGAATTAGAAAAATGTGGTATACCAAGCTTAAAACAAGAAACTAACTAGAGGTAAATACTCAGGTTTGAGATGGACCTTTTTCTTCTTATTAGAGATGCCTTTCTCTTTGAGCTGGTTATCCTGCTCTTCCTCGTCTGAGTCTGAGTCTGAGTTAACCTTCTTCTTTACATCTTCTTTCTCTTCAGACTCATCCTTCTTACCATCTTCCTCAGAGGCAATAGGTTCCCGGAAGTTGAACTTCTCAAAGATTTCCTTAAACTCATCGTTAAAACCATCTTCAAAGTCAGCCTTCTCTGGAACATACTCTATCACAATCTCCTCAGAAACCTAACAACAAAACGAAGATCAGAAATCATCAACAAAAGACAAAATACAAACACAAACCCTAAAAATATAACCCTAGAAAATCTCAAATAACATAAATAAAATGAGAAAAACATAACACAAAGCTAACCTGTTTCTGCGGATCCGCATTCTCCTTAGTATCAGTAGCAGCCGAAACGTCCTTTTCATCTACATCAGCCTGAGATGCTTTATTGTTCTTCTTCTGCTTCCGTCTACGGCGGCGACGGTCACTCTCGCGAGATTTCTTCGAGGAAGCGGTGGTGTTTCCGTTGGAGACATCGCCGTTTGAAACGACGCTATTTTCGTGTGCGACAGTTGAATCGGCGGTCATATTCGGCGAAGTCTCGGACTCGACGGGAAAGTGAGTTACAGAAGAGAAGAAGAAAACAAGGAAATCGAGAGGATATATATGAACGGAGTCGGTTTGCTGA